TTGGCGATTCACAATCCTTGAGATCCCTTCCCACCCTGGCTATTCTGTGATCTGGATTGCACGTAAGATCCTTGTAGCAGCAACTGAAGTGATAACTTGCATGAGAAAATAATGAGGAAAGTATGCATGCATTTTTGTCTCCTCATATGGTTTAGTAGCCGCAAACGAGGAAACTTGCTTCCATCCAAATAGCAAAGTCAACTTGGACTGCAGTTTGGGAAACTACTCTCTTTTGTCTCTGCTTAAATTGTCCTAACTGCTACTTGGGAATTTGTATTCTTAGCATTGTGTATTGGCAAAGAGGTCAGTAAAATGCCTTTGTATTTGTGCTAGAGCACTGGAAGCTGAATCTGAAGTCTGCTCTTCAGGATTGTCATCTTCAGGATCTCTTCTTTTTAGTTCACTGTACTGTTTTCTCCCAAATCCCTTATTTTGTAGTGAGACAAACCTACAAGTGTGCTAATTAGCTGGCAGGTACTCATCTGCTGATTGGCCATCTGGCAGTACAAGAAATTGCTGAGCATGTGCTCCCCTACTCCTTCTGCAGGAGTACTAAAGACTTTTTTTGTCTACACTGCCTCATAATTTTTCCACAGTCAGCTAGGTGCTACTCTATTGAATTTGTCTTAAGTTCCACAAAGATTCAAAGGCTCTAAGTCAGAGAAATGGTGGGCTTTGTAGACCAGGTTTTAAAAACAGTTGTGCAATTTTCTTTTGAAACAAGCTTATACTTCCAGTATGTAGTCAGAAATACTACTTGCCAGTAACTGGTAATTGTCTGAAAGGTAACATTATTATTTTAATGAATACAGAGTTTTTCCATTTTCAATTTCTAGTGTTTAAAATCTCAGTCTCTAGCAGTTTTATCTTATATTGGAATAGAATTACAATGGCTAATTTAAAAGAAAATATTCCTTTTGTGGTTTCAGTTGCAGCTACTTTGATTCTAGTGATATTGCTATAGCAACAATATTCAGGTTGTATTCCTAAGAGTTCCATATATCAGATATGTTATGAGATATCTTTGAAGATATTTTTTATTGTTAGAAAGATGACAGACCTGTACAGGCTTCTATGAGAAGTTTGGTTCATAGGGAGCAAGTTCTGCTTTTCTAAGGCACCTGTACTGTGTATGGCATCTGTCTCTGCATCAAAAGTCTTCTAACATTTCTCATACCTGCTAACTGCTTGTTAGCATGTTCTGAACAGTCTAAAGAAAACGAATCCCATTTATTCCACAGTACATTTGCTGTACCTTTTTGGGTCTGTCAGTATTCCTGATAAGTGCAGTGTTGTCATGTTTTTTTAACTCTGAAATGGATATGTGAATGTATGTGACTTACATAAAAGAAAGTGGAGATTATAGAGTTGAAATTTTGTATTAAGCTTGCATGACAACAAGCAGCAAGGATGCTTGTTTTATTTACCATTCCTGCTTTTGTATTTTTGTTTGAGAGAAGAAAAAGCTTGTAAATTTATATTATAAAATAAGGAATTCTACTTTTTACTTACTCCACTCAGAATGTTTCCAAGAAAGTGAACATCTCAAGGAAAGCCTGAAATGTTGCCTGTTACATCTCTTTGGAGCTATTGTGGCTGGTGGTCAGGTAAGGGTGTTTTAAACTCTTCCCAGCTGCTGAAGTCTCTATCTTCATTATTCAAAGCTTATACATAGTAAATAAATTCTCCTTGATTATGGGGTATTTATAAGCTATTTATCTTGTGAAGTTTGGAGCTGTTCTGTGCAATAGTATCTAAATACTACAAGCTAGGTTCTGTTTTCAGAAGGCAATAGGAGGCTGCTTTTTAAAATAACTACACATTCTTATCAACTAAGTATGTCTTCACATACATTAAAAAAATGTGAGTAACTAGACTGCTTCCACCTGCAAAGTTTTTTATATAACTTTTTAGATTTCATATAATTACGACATACATCTAGCTTCCCAGTGTGTTTCAGAAGGAAATACAAGGGCTTCAAAGTTTGGAAGGTCCTTAAGACCTTTAAAATAACATGTAGGAAAGAATATCTGAAAAAAATACTGTTAATCATCAACACAGTCAGTGTATGCTCTCATGGGCTGACTTCTGTGATGTTCTGCTTAGTAAATGTTCTGGTGCCAGACCTATCTATAGTGATGAAGCAGCCCTAAAGTCAAGTCAGGAAGTTGAACAGTGGGTCAGGAACAAGAGGGTACATGGCCTGGCAGGGACATGACTGTTAAACTACACAGTTTAGGCAGGTAAAATGCTGGGAGCCATGGCTTGAATGGAAGATCCCTAGACAAGGTGAGGAGACCCTGACAAGGCTTCTTGCTGTGCTTTATAAGGCTGTATTCCTGCTCCAGATGTAGACCAGAGGCCTATCCAGTCAGATTCCAGGAAGAGAGTTGAGGGGTAGGCATTCATGACCCAGATAAATACTTGTTTTAAAGTATTGAGTCTATGAAAGTGGGGACCTAAAAATGAAATTTCAAATTCAGGTTTATTTAGAATTAATGTTATCAAGGGTACTTGATAAGAATATTATAATGTCAGTTTAAATGACCTTTAATCTATAAATATTCTGTTTGAAAAAGAAAACCTAATGAAGTGCATGAGGTGGGCTGCATTTCATCTATAGCCAATAATATAATCCAAGTAGGATGTTTAACAACTACAGTATATAAATTAAAATGGAAGAAATAGTGAATGTTGCAGGATTCAGGTATCTTCAAATCAGCAATTCTGTCCGAGTTACATTTTTATTCCCCTTAATTCTTTTCATCCATGTTTTTCAGAGGAACGCTCTTCAAGCAGTATCTCCTGCTACCATGGAAGTCTTGATGCGTGTTTTAGCAGACTGTGATAACTGGCATGATGGGAGCCCTGAGGAAGTGAGCAGAAAGGCAGAGCTTACTCTGAAGTGCCTGACAGAAGTTGTCCACATTCTCCTTAACAGCAGCTCTGACCAGCGTCAGGTGGAGACCAGTACAATACTGGAAAACTATTTCAAGTTGCTTAATTCAGACCATTCGGCCTTACCTAAACCAAGGCGATGTAGGCAGTGGGAGAGCAGGTTCATAGCACTACAGATCCAAATGCTGAGTAAGTACTCAACCGTGCAGTTTCTTTAAATGTCTCTTGATAATAGCTCTGAAACAAGTAATGATTGAATTGTTATATAACTGGAAGTTGTACAAATGTTCACTTATTTATATAGTGCAAAAACATCAAATGTTTCTTCTCATTGACATTTCTTTAGATATATTCTATTTCATATTCATATTTAACCAGAGTATCAAGGTTCATGGACTACCAGTCTCTAATTTAAAAAAAAAAAAAAATTGCTAGGCAACAATGACAGCACCTTAACTGCAGAGTGAGGAGGATTTCTAATAAAATATCCTTGTGATGGCTGTTTTGTGGAAGTTTGCTTTTCAGATGGAATTACTGCAAACATTGGCAAAGATGCTGGTCCTTGAAGTGTTGGTGCTGAGTTGTTAGATAAGCATTTAGGATTTGTGAATATTTTTTTACTTTGTTTGGAATGGCAAATATAAATGTAGGTATTTTGTTCCCCTGGACTTCCAAGGAAACAAGAGTAGCATTGAGGTGGTGATCATTTACAGTGAAAGGCATCTGTATAATATAGGGAAAATTTTTATAAGGAAACCAGTGTTTGTGTGCTTCTAATAGAGGGCATGCAGGTTAGGTACTCAAAGACAAAGACTTCAAGCAGGATATGAAAGCTATCAAAGGTATAGCTGAGTTTTTTCACTATGTATAGTAGGTTATCTGACAGTTTTTACAGTGAGTTTTGGGCCTAGTACTCTGTGTTTTAAACACCTCAGAATTCTTGTGATGTATAGTTTATTTTAAAATCAATATTTTTTTAATTCCCATGTTTATTAAGTACCTTTTCTAATCATCTTACAGGTGTAATTTGGGAAAAAGAAAGAGCTTCATAGATTTGGCAAGTGTTTTGATTTTAACATTGGTTCCATTTTAATTTTGTAGATACAATCACGGCCATGTTAGACTGCACAGACAGGCCTGTTCTACAGGCAATTTTCCTTAACAGTAACTGCTTTGAGCATCTCATTCGACTGTTGCAGAACTGCAAGGTAAATTTTCTTTTATCTTCACTTTTATAACAAAAATTTTGTTCTCTTTTCCCATAGGATCTAACATTTAGACAAATCTTTTTTGTCTCAATCCCAGATAGAACCTTATTTGCTAGCCAATGTCTTTCACTGATTCCTTCATAGATTTTGTTTCTCAGCCTCTGCAAAAGAGCATGGATACAATGCAACTCTGGAATATTTTCATTCTATTTTTGTGATATGTTAGTGGCATTGCTATTTTGAGCTCTTCTAATAAATTGTATACTGTAGATTACATTATCTAGTATCAATTATCAATTTTTTTTTTTTGGATTGAAATATTTCATTGCAGCAATATATGAAAAATGTGCTTGGGTTAGGATTTAGCTGTTATGATTAGTGGCAGAATGCCAATTTCCTTGAAATGCTTTGAGTAGTATTAGTGGATTGTTTTTGTTTGTTATCTCCAGTCTTCTCCTGAAAATGCTTTATTTCATTTTACCATTATTCTCTGTTTGGGCATCTGTGCCTATTTTTGTACTGACCTTGTACTCTGTAAGAAACTTATTTTCTAATTTCTTCTTCAGTTATTAAGCATTATGATATTTACTTATTCTTGTAGAATCTGGCCTTGTTCCTGTTCTCATTTAAACAAGTGGGAATTAGAACTTTGGAAAGTAGGAAAAGCTACTCTATTAGGTTTTGCCTGCTTTGATTTTATTTTTTTTTGCTGCTTGTTCTCTTCGTTTTTAGTCTGCCTGCTTGTCTGTCATAAAATGTACTGTTGGGATGTTTTTTCCTCTGATAGCCTTGCATGCTACTGTGATCAATTGAGTCTCAGTGTTTCCAGGTTGCTACATGACTTTTTTTAACCTTTGTAGTGGAAATAGCCCCAAGAATGATAAAGGAAGGAGGGGAGATGAAGTTACATTTTTCAGTGTATCTTTATACTTTTTGAAATAGCGAAGATGAATTTAGCAGTGGAATTGATTTTCTCCTGTTAATGTAGGAAGATGATCCTGTTTCTGGTCATATTTTTTCTTACCTGTGAAAATCTTGCTGCTGGATTCACTGGCAGGCTATGTGAAGCACAGTTCTGCAACTCTGTATCAGGTGAAGAGGAGAGTACAGACAGATATGAAAGTCAGGAATTTCTTGGATCTACAGCAAATTTGGAGAGAGATTTTCATGGAAAGAAGGGGTTAAAGAAAATCACTACCACAACTTCTGCTATAGGTATCGTGAGATACTCAAACCCATAATTCTAGTCACATTTCAAAATCATCTGCTGTCCAGCAATCTTCTAAAATAGTTTTTTTGGCATATGTTGGTTTTAAGCCTCATGGACAAATTGTCTTCACTTAACTATGCTCTAGGAGTATAGATCTGCATAAGAGCTCTTTAAAACTGTTCAGTTAAGTTCTGTTGATCTAAATGTTGCCTTTTGTCTTGTGATATTCAAGTAGAGGGTCTATACTTTAGAGATATCAAAAGGGGCTCAGTCTGTCCTAAGTTACATTAAGTAGCTGCTTGTAGGTACTTAAACATCTAGGGATCAGACTTTGAGCAAAGCGCAATCATCTCTAGCAATATGTCTGGTTAAAAGCACGTGGTTATTGTCTGAATGGCTTTAGATAGAATTTTCACTTGTACTGATAGGGCTGAATTAACCAATCTGAGAAAACTTTGTCTGCCTTTGCTTTTGTTTGGTGTTCTTATTCTCACTTGTTAATGCTATAACCCTATGAGATGTTGTCATAATTCTGTGATATGTACTCTTGAGTGTGATGTATTTCAGACTGACTTGTGTTTCTATGTAGGCTTACACTTGTGTAAGTCTAATAATTTGAGTATTTTCTTTGTCCTATTTTGTGAAAGCTGATTTCATAGTGTTACTCATCTTCAGAAGGAATACTTAAGTAAGGTACTAGGAGAAAATGCTTGAGGAAGAAATGGTTAATATTTCATTCTTACCCACTGATAGAAAGTGTTGGGTTTATTTTGTTTGGTTTTGTCCTTCTTAGGTACCTTTAAAACATTTTTGATAGGGGATTTTTAACAGCAGTTTGGAGTATATAAACAGAAGAAAAGCTGTAGTCATGATTAGATTGTGGCTGACCTATACTCACAAAGTGAGTGCAGTGGATTATGAAGGTACTGGAGTCAACTTTGACGCTGCAAATTCAGGTACAGACTAGGGATAAATTTCTTAGCTGAAAATGCAGAATAGGTGTAGTTTTATTTACAGTCTGACAGATCCTTAGAGTGTTACCAGATGTAGTTTTGCATTTCTTCTGTTCTGAAGGCTTATGTGATCAAGATATTCTACTGCTGTTGCTGCTTGATTTTGACTACATAGCTTCAGCCATTACATAGGATAAGACATAAATGGACAACCTTGAGGCATTTGTATCCATTTCTTTGCTAATGCTCCCCTGTTTTTATTTCTTTAAAGTGAATTTTTGTTGTACTGCACGTGGTAAATGAAATCATTGTTGCTAAGCTGGTAAGCAGTATAACATCCACGTAGGTCTGTCTCCTTGTCTCAGCAATGACATGTTTTCATCTAATTCTGGACAAAAAATGCAATTACTGCTTAGCAAAACTGCAATCTTCAATATTCTAAGAATTAACAGACAACTAATATTAGTGGGGGAATGTGTCTCACTAATGTGAGAACTCGTTTCTTGTATGTTAGACACAAATCCTGAGGCAGCCTCCACAGTTATGACTGGAGGATAACTATGTAATACAATTATTTCCATTATTCTTGTCTCTGTTTCTAACAGCTCTTTTTAAATGCTAACAATAAAGTGGCAGACAAGAGTGAAAAAGACCTTGCCAACAAATTACTGACAGAAATGAATGAGGACCAGGTATCTACCTAATCTGTATTTTGCTTCAATTGAGGTCAAAACACAATGACAGGAAAACTGATTCCTGTGCTTCACCTTAATGATCCTTCTTAAGTCTTCTGTGGCAAGATGACCTTGTTTCTGCAGACATAAGTATTTCCTATCTATGGAAAGTGACTTTCCCAATTAACAGACTGAATTCAACTTTGCTTTTTTTCATCTACTTCAAGTTGCAAATATTTCAGTAGATTGACCCTCAGTTTTGCATCTTTTAAGGAAAAGGTGAAGTACATGAATGGAATCCAAATAATTCTATTAACCTGGTGGTGATTTTTTCCCTTCCTTTCCTTTTTTTTTTTTTTTTGCTTCTTTGTCTCAGCACTGTGGTGTTTTGGATTCTGGGGCCTTGTTTGTGAATCTCAATGGTTGTATTTGATGTCCTGATTCTTTGCTTGTCATCAAGAGATGTTCACAAATCAATGGACAGGCTGAATCAGGGAGGTAGGAATAGCCTGTTGCTTTAATTTTGCCATAATGTTGTGGAAAGTATCAAATGCAATTTGTATTGATTTTGTGGTAGAATGATTTGTTCTGATTAAAAATGTAAAGATGCTGAGTACAAGGTACGGTAATCTACAGGTTGTGATCCTAACAAATAGCTTTGGCTTTTTTAGAAACTCAGTGCAACATTAACTGCATGTAAACATTTCTTCACATCTAACAGTCTTCTGATTCTTGACATTTCATTTCCAAAATGTCTGATATACAGAATATTATTTCAGGGGTGGTGAAACTGTTTGTGCAGTCTTGCTCATTAGGCTTACTGATGGACCTGAAATACTGCTTGTTTTTGTCCTTAAGACCATGATAGAAATATTACTATAAACAGAAATTAACAGAAGAAAACAGCGCAAAAGTTAATATGAAATTGGGAAGTTGATGATTGAGATAAGAATATGGGTGAGAAAGCCACTTTACTGTGCTGGTGTGAGTAATCTCTTATAATTCATGTGTGTTGCATTGGTGTATAGGGACTTATGGAAAAGAAAACTCTATATATACTGCAGATGCCTGATTATTTAGCAGTGCACACACAATACAAGAGATTTCTTAATTTGTTTTCCTTCCTCCCTCTTGAGGTTGTCCATTAGCCGCATGAGGAGAACATGTTTGTCCATCAGAGCATTTGAAGTGAAATGAGTTTTGTGAAGGCTTCTCTCCTTCTCTTGAAATGTTGTCTATTGTTAATGTTATCTATCCTGTAGGCTATGGGGTACTGTGAAATCATTATTGGTGGAGATGATTTTTGAAGCATGCTAGTAAACTTTGTTTTCATCCTGGCAGGAGGGCACAGTACAGTTTTGGAGCAGAATTGCCTTTTTGCATTTGTATATAACCTCTGTACTTGCTGCTTTCAGGTATTTCAGGGACGTCTAGACTGCTTGGCAGTATCAACTATTCAGGCTTTCACAGCAGTAATGCACAAGTCTCCAGCTGCTAAGGTAACTACACGTGCAGCTATCTTCTTGTGATAGGCCTCTTAATTTTGTCTAGCTTTTTTATTTTGCAACATCCTTGGGGAATTTTACTAATTAAGTTGAGCAGCTTGTGATCACTAATTCCTGTCAGATAGGAGCAATGGACTGGGTATCCCCTGTCTCGCTATGCAGCCATTAGAAACAAACAGACATCTTTGAACTGGAAAACTGGAGTGCAAATGGTAACTGGAATCTTTTTAAGGAGAGTACATAATTATTTACCATAAATATTTGGAGTAGAATTAACAAATTTTGCAAGATATAGCTTCAGGAAGGAGTTAGATTTTTTTTATCATGTTTGTAATCCAGAATCATATTGCTGTCTAAATCGTGATCTTGCCTTTCCCCCTGCCTTTTCTTTGTGGTTATTCCTGTGGCTTGATAAATTAACTAGCAATGACTAGTTTGTGAATCTGACTGAAATATAAAGCCACAGAAGAGTAGTGTATTTAATTCTAGAGTGCTGAATTCATTGGATTAATCCCATGTTTGAATGACTTCTGGCACAGTGCAGGTCACAGAGTGTGGAAGAAGCCTGATTCAGTTTCTGCTTGTAGTACATTCTCAGTTAGAAATGACAAGGTAGTAAATTAGGCTCCTCCTGAGCATATCTCAGAGTACTTGCATCTCTACTGACGCTGGGAAGTCTGGGGAAGTCTTGTGTGGCAGAATGGAGGATTGACTGTAATCCATGAAGTGCCAGTAAAGTTTTCAGCTGCATTTTCATTACAATGTATAATTTTTTTATTTCCCTGTTTACTTAAGTAATTCTCACTTCTATTGGCAGATTCATCCATCTGTTTTAATTTCAGTGCAGAATACAGCTGGGAGGCTAGTATTTGTTTTGTGATGCGTTGGGTATTTACAAACCAAACAGTAAACAGATGCTATGTAGTATGGTCAGACTTTGTGGCACGTGTCATTTTTCTTTGTGTAAAATCAATTAATTTTCAGAAAATCATTCCTGGAACACTTAACTGATCTTTTGAATTATTTAAAATGAGTTATTTCTAATCAAGCTGGTCTAGAAAATCTTTCATTCAAAAGTCAGTATCTAGATACTTAGAATTCTCAAAATAATAACTTCATTTCAAGCTTCAGTTTGCATTAAAGTTATTAGTAACTTGCAATAGATTTAATGTTTGGGTATATAAAGCAATATTTTTTATATTTACTACTTTGATCTTACGTTTGTTTATCTGCATGCTGCAGTGAGTTTCTTCTTATTTACAGCATGCTAGAGATAGAAATCCTTTCATAGTATGTCCATTGTGCTAAACAAAAAAATACAATTCTTACATTCTAATCTTTAAGACTAACATTGTTTTGAAGTAAACTTTGTTGCAGTAGATGAGCTATTTGTGTCTATTTCATTTGTTAGTGAGACTGGATTTTTATCCTCAGGAGGTCTTCAAGGAGAGAATTGGTTATGCACATATCTATGAGGTACTTAAGTCACTGGGCCAGCCCTCAAGGGAACTGCTGGAAGAACTCATGAATATGGTGAGATATACTTTGAATGCAGTCTGAAAAGCTATGTCTCTTCAGCAGTATTTCTTCTTGACTGTATTTCATGTCTGACTTCTTTGTTTTTCAGGCTGTTGAAGGTGACCACATGGCTGTTGGGATACTAGGCATTAGTAATGTCCAGCCATTATTGCTGCTTATCCAATGGCTTCCAGAGCTTGAGTCACATGACCTGCAGATTTTCATCTCAAATTGGTTGAGGCGGATCTGCTGTATTAACAGGCAGAGTCGTGCCACGTGTGTCAATGCGGACATGGTCATCCGTATCATTGAGACACTAAATCACCACTCTGCACTCCATTGTACTTGTGCAGAGAACCTGATTGCCCTTCTGGGCTCCTTAGGGAGCCAGTCAATGGGGTCAGAAGAACTGCTTCAACTAATACGGCTCCTGAGGACTGAGGAGCCAAAACAGGCTCACCCTTATGTTATTCCAGTGGTGCGAGCCATTCTGGCAATGGCTCGGAAACAAGGCATGGTTAGTGCCTTGCAGTATTTCAACTTGTGTCACAGTATGGCAGGAATTGCTGTTCCATCAATTCAGAGGTGGCCAGGCTCTGCATTTTCTTTCAATGCTTGGCTCTGCCTTGATCAAGACCAGGTGGACCCTAGCACAGCCTGCAAAACTGGCAAGCGGAAGCAACTGTATAGGTACGGTTACCATAATGACTTCAACAGCACAAATCTGGGTTGTCTGTTCCTTGTGGAATGTGGTACCCCCTAGTCTGTATGGTACCCGTTCCTTCATGGAATGCAATATAAAGCATTCTATGAAAAACTTGATTTATTTAGTTTGTGAAAGGGAGAAGCTTCATCTGTTTCAACAGCCAGGCTATGTTACAGGAATAAGCACATAGCTTCTCAATTACACTGCTTCCTCTACAGTTTCTTGTTTGCAGTTTCATTATCCACAACTCTGAATTGTGTTAAGGTATATAGCTTAAAAACAACAACAAAAATAAACTAACCAACAACGAAAAAAAGCAAAACACCTCAAAACAAAACAATCTGTGGTGGAATTGCACCACAAACTTTAAAAAGCCAATAAAGCAAATTCTCATCTGCAAAATGCTTTTTCCACATAGTCACCACAATTAGCTATGCATTTTCGCCAGCGATGTCATTCTCATAAAAATCTGCACCAATTGAGATGGTCTACTGTTTCACAGCTGTGACGATGATAGAAAAATATTGCACAGCCAATTCATTTTTTACTGGTCTGAACAGATGGAAGCCAGAAGGTGCCAAATCTGGACTATATGATGGGTGTGGTGGGACAGTGCAGCCAAGACAGGCAATGTGCTCTATGTTCTTGCAACTGATATGGGGTCTGGTGTTATTGTGTTGCAAGAGAAAAATTGTCCTCTTCTCTGGTTTGACTTTGGAGGTTCCAGCATTCAGCTTAGTCATTGTTGCAGTGGCAATTAGTGGAGACGGTTTGTCTGGGTTCCAAGAAATCCAGAATGATCACCCCCTTTCCTATCCCAAAAGACATTGCATATCGCTTTCCCCACTATAACATCCGTGTCACACTTGTGTTTTATACCAATAAATATTTGATAATACAGTAGTTAATGCCTCCACTTGGAGTAACAGTACCCAAGGGATTATAGCAGGCTTTGATAACACTTGACAGTTTATATATAATTTTCTGTATTCAAGCACTTAAAAAAAAAAAAAAAAAATGCCAGGTTTCTCAAGGCAAGCCTGTTCTTGCAGGGCTTATTTATAGATAGCTGCTTACATCTGATCTTTGTGATACTGAGTGAAATAAGCCATGACTGTGTTTATATTTTGCATTAAAATTCTTGCTTATAGGTAATCACAGATTTAAAAATATTTTTGATCTACACTTACTGTCTCATCAGTTTTAAACCAGATTTGGCTGTAACATTACATGTACAAGTATTCTGAATTTCTGAATTATTCCATTTAGTGTCTTGATCTTTAAAATAAAAATCTTCATATGCAGTGCTATGATGTAAAACAAGGAAATTAAAAGAACACATCTACTAGCTATGACAGCAATCTCACCTAACTGCAAGCATTAGTAGCAGCTTTAATGGGGCTGATGGACAAAATTAACAGCAAACAGCACTGTTTGCAGGCCTGTTAATGTGGTATTTAGTAGAACATTGTAGCTCTCAGAGGCTGCAACTGTCAGTAGTAGGATAGCTACAAGTTTCTTTGAGAGATTTGGGGAATGCCTTTGCCCTGAGTGTCCTTGGGGTTCCTTTCTTGTGAGATTTGTCTTGTTCTTTTGAACAGAAGTAATAGCTAGGCAGATAATGACATGAACAGCGACAAAAAGCTCAAGTTGTTTCTCTCCTCAGTGAAAATACTGTTGTGACTTCCAATATGTATGGTGAAGCAAGTCCTTAGCTTGTTTGTTTTATTGTCATTCTATAGCTTTTTTACAGGAAGCGGTATGGGTTTTGAAGCCTTTATCACATGCTCTGGAGTATTGGTGGTAGCAGTTTGCACAAAGAGGGAATATGCAACAGTGATGCTGCCTGACCACTGTTTTTTTGACTCACTCTGGGTAAGATGTGATGCTGAAAAACACTGTTTATCATAGTAGTGTTAGCTCAGAAGTCACAAGTTAGTTTTGCTATTTTATAAGTGATCTATTTTATTATACTTAATTGAGTAAGAACAAATCTAAACTCAGATAATACAAGTGCTTTTTGCATAGATTAGTATTTAAGATAAGTTATGCCTGTTGTTTTAGCTGTTCTGATTCATAAACTGGCTATAGTGTTTTTTAAAATGTGTTTTATATGGAGATTTTTCAATATATGGATCTTTTTTATATTAAAACAAACAGCTGTAGTGTTGTGTGCATGCTACTGTGTTTCTGCCTTAACTTCTATTGTAAGGACTGATGTGCATTGTCATATAAGAACCTATACCTCTTTTCTTCAAAAAAAAAAAGAAGTTTAGAAGTAAAGTACTTAAAAATAGAGCTGATATCAACAAGGTCAGACCAGCTACTTTGGATTTATTTTCCAAAGCAGTTTCTTTAATGATTTCCTCACCAAATTAATGAAGGTGAAGTTAAATAGTTGCATAACATCATTTCACTGCTTTTTAATGATGATTTAATTATTTTATTAATCAGCACAACATAACTATTGTTCACATGCCTGGAAAGAGACCCTTTGGTCAAAGCATTGTGTACATCTATGTCAATGGACAGCAGAAGATCTCTGCCCCACTTCGATTTCCTGCCATGAATGAAGTAAGTTCACCTTCTGTGTCATACATCTGTCCAGATGAACTTCATAGAAGAATGAGAACACAGTTGGCTTTTTTATATTTGGAAACTCAGTAAAAGTTAAAGATAGTTTAGAGCATTGTTATTAAGTTTGTTTAACTCTAGATAGTGTCCAAGGTATCATAGTGGAGAATAGGTAGAACTAACCATTAATTAATGCTTGTTTAGTTATCTCACTTATAAAAACAAACGGGGAAAAAAATCTATTTGGTTAAATAGTGGGGTTTTCCCAGACCTGAGCACTATGATAGAATTTCTGATTAGTCAGCTCTGCAAGTAGTGTGACAGCCCCACTGAGATCTATTCCATCTTGTTTTCACTGGCCACTCATTAATATTTTCTGTATGTTCCCATAACACATGCTAATCTTATATGTACTTGTTACCTGGATAAGCATGAATACTAGCCAACAAAATGAGTACCTGTCATCTTAAGTTCTTTGTGTGGGATGAATCCTTCCTAACCTTGGCTATAATACTTACCGTTCTTCCCCTGTTCAAGTCCTAATTTAATATTTAAGTATTTTGAGTAGTTTTAGTAAGCATTTAAATTAAACAGTGTAATAGTGAAATCAATATAATGCTTAAAGTATGTTGCAAGATAAAACTCTGGGTTTTGGCTCACTTGTAAAATAAGCACAATAGAGAAGATATGAAAGTATGGGGTAGAAGCCCCTCTGAGGGCTTCTGTTCAAGTGGTAAATAATTGATACATATAGCAGGCATAACGGGCTAGTATTTTCAAATATGATCCAGAAGAGGAATGTTTACCAGAGTATCTTACCAGAGTACTGTCCTTGTAGGCTCTGTTCCTGCCACCCTTTTTTGTCACACAATAGTTGAGGTGACCAAGTTGCTTTCAACTGAATTAGGAGCACTGCTGTTTGAGAAGTATGTGTTCTTTTTGTTTTGGGTTATTTCTTCTCCAGAGTACGCCAGAACTTGCTGTTCTCGGTTTAATTTATTTAGTTCAGGTTTGACAGGGATAGTCTTCAGATTTGGTTTGTAAAATAGCTGAGGCAGAGGTAGAAAAGGAACATAGGCTTAAACTGAGTGTGTTTTGTTTTTTCTTCTATTCTTGCTTCTACAGCCTTTTACTTCTTGCTGCATTGGTTCAGCTGGTCAAAGAACAACAACTCCTCCTCCATCTCAGATACCAGACCCACCTTTTTCTTCCCCTGTCATGCCCCATCGTACATCATTTGGGGGCATTCTCTCTCCAGGAAGCTGGGGTGGGATGCTTGCAAAACCAGAACTCATCACCAAGATGATCTCAGCAGGGACTCAGGATAGTGAATGGGGATGTCCAACATCACTGGAGGGCCACCTTGGTTCAGTTATCATCTTTCATGAAGCACTGCAACCCCCTCAGGTGAAAGCATTGTATTTGGCAGGTAAGTAATAATTATACTGATTTTTAGTGAAACAAAATGGTTTAGTTACAGGCAGCATCACTCTGAGCTTTGCTGTACACGGACACATAATGACCAAGATATAGTCCAAAATAATTTTAGAACTAACATAAGTGAGAGAGCTTTATAAGAAACTCAGAAATGAATGATAAGGATTTTTATTTAAGCTAAAATACTAGGTTTCCATAAGCTCATCTATCTACGTATAGGCTTGCCAAAATCTGGATGCTAAGTAGTATTTTCACTTTTATTTTCTTATTTTTTCCCACTGTTTGCCTACAAGTGACCTTACAATTGAGGGTCTTTAAAGTATTGCTCTTGTTGACAACCCACTGAGTTGATTTACACTTCAGGATTTTTCCACAAGAAATCAACTGTGATTTTGAAAATAAAAAAAATAAATTATTAATCTGTTTTACTAAAGTATTAAGGTATTAAGTTCGATAATGGCCTGGGATTGTTAGAGATTAGCAAGTACTTCAACCATTTAAAGGAAATATTTTGATGTTGCTAAATAAAGTTGACTTGAAAATTTCTTACTGTCTGTTTGAGCTTGATGATATGTTGGTGGCAAGTATAGGTGTTTGTAAAGAAATGTAGCTGCTTGAATGTACAAATTAAAATCTTGTACAGTTTGGCTTTTTATCATATGTATCATGTATTTCTTTTTAAGAAGATCCCTATGGAATGAATGACTTAATTCATAATTACTTCAAAGCGTGTCTCAAATAGGTATGGTTCAGAGTATCCTGCCATAACAAAGAATAGTATAAAATTTGTGAACGTTAATATCCAGTGAAGCCTCAAAAATTAAAAGCAATGTATTTATAGGTCCAAACTGTTTAACTCCGTGGAAATCTCAAGAGCCTGAAGTAGCAGATCTCCCCAGTAAGGTGTTGCTGCATTACACACCAAAGGTATGTAACAATACGTATTTTCCTGTTGTTTATGCAGTATGCAGTAACTTCAGAACTTATCTTGAATGGTTTTTTGTTTGGCTATTACTGTTTAGTTAGAACAAACTAATGTACCATTAACATGTAAGAACATCTAATATTAACATGTACTATTAAATGTACCTTTTTTACACAATGGTAATAGGAAGATGCAGGGCAGCAAGATCTTAGACTGTAGTTTTAGGGAAGGGTGATGTTATTCTTGTTTAGCAAAAGGACAAAATTATTTTGTGGAAGTCAAATCTAATATAATGTAAATTTTCTAGGGTTCCCAAGTTGTTTAAACAACATTCTATCAACATAATGACTCAACTATTATGCATTATTACAAAGCTTTCTGCATTTTCAAGGATATGTTGTTTCCTAAATGATACTGTAGCCTCTTCACTTCTCAGGCCTGCAGAAATCCAATTTGTCTTGACCTGTCTGCAAATCTCTTACATGGAAGACTAACTGGAAACAAAGTAGTGAACTGGGACATCAAGGTAAGTGCTTACTGAACAAGCAGAAGCTATTGTTTGTGACAGTTTTCCTATGTTCACCTAATTTTCAGAATGCTAGAGGTTGTCATAATGCCGATGACATTTAACAGATAAAAAGTCAGTCTTAACTCTGTGCCTGAGAAAATCAACTTACTTGCAGCTAGACAACTTAATCAAGGAACGTTGATGTGATTAATGATTTTTCTGTTCAGAAATTTGTGACACAAATACCAATTCTATTTTATAGGTAACCTTTGCTTGCAGGGCTCTTTAAGCAAAAGAAAACAAAGATTGAGTGCAGAGAATGTATCCTATGGACAATTTTTGTTTTGTTTTGAAGACAAATGTGTGAATAAATAAATGCTTTTTTTAAAATTTTTATTGTTTAAAATTATTTTCTAATATCTTTTTTTAAAGAATAGTGTGCAATGAACTCAATGAGCAAACTAATTAGTAAAGAAGTGTTTTGGGGCTACACTGTGTATATGCTTTGACTTCTGGAGATTAATGTTAAGAAAACTGAAACATTTTTGCTTGTTAATTTTGCTGTGATGTGAGTAGTTTGAAAATACTACAATTTGTTCTCTTTGTCCAGTAGATAGTAGAGGGGTGGGTGAGGATGGCTTGTATCTCAAGTTTTATGGGAAAGTATATTGAAAGTACAAATCTCAGGAGAATAATTAGTTCATTAACAAACATGACGGGGATTGGCACTCTCTGAAGGACTAGAGTGAGAGATAAGACACAAAGCTGATTAAGTCATTAGGAGATGAGTACAGCTTGAAAGGAGCTACAGTTACTGCTGTCGTCTTTGTAGAAATTCTATTTTTTCAACTTTCAAGTGTGATGCTTCTTGTTTTGCCCAGCTAACATGGAAATATTCATCCATGAGATAAATTTTACAGATTTAAAAAAGCTCTTAGCTTAACTGTTCAATTTTCTTTATCCCCATGTTTATTGAGACAAATCTAAACAGGGAAGGGGATATCATACAGATGTGTAACAGAGTAACAGTTTAAAAAGTGGAATGTGATGGAGGCAAAAAAGGATGGTTTCCTCTACTTCTCACCAGTGTTTGTGGGAAGGAAAACTGATGTTCTGTGATTGGCTTCCAGGATATTGTTTTACTTTGGTTTCTAAGAGTTTTAGTATGCAGTAGTTTTCCTTGGACTAAGTTGGGCAGGTGAACAAGCATCTCTGACTAGTTTACTGGTTATTGTTATCTGTGAGGAAATTAAATGGATTTTATTAGACTTGGATTTCAAATAGGGTGGAGGTAAAAATTGAAGTATACATAAAAATATTTGAAAAAAAATATGTTCTGCTATCATTTCCTAACTGTGAAGTTGAGATCTTGCAGGAACAGGATTAAAACATGTATACGGTATTTCTTTACTGAAAGTAACTTAGATATCATAAATGTTTTTACTCCATTTTTCCAAAATGCTTAATAGAAAATTCTTTCTGATATTTATAACCTTCACATGCTTATCTGGGAGAGGGTGGAATGAGGTGTAAAAACACAGCTGACAGGAAGTAGTGTAGTTGCAGTGCCTAGAATGTGGGCGATACTCTGTTTAACTCGGTGTTCTAAACCAGTTTTAAACAGGCATAAAACCATTAATTGATTTGTGAGTGTATAGGGTTCCTTAACTAGTGTGAATTTGTGGCATAATTTAGAGGATTTTATTTAAGGTTGCTTTCCTTCCATTTCTCTTAATTTTAGGATATGATCAACTGCATTGGTGGAATAAATGTGCTGTTTCCATTGCTGGAACAGATCAGTGTTCTTGGTAGACAGATGCCTGAGAAGTCTGTAGGGGAAACTCTACCTCCTGAAGTAGTTACTCCTGTAGAGGGAGACTGGGTGGTATTGTCATCTACGAAGGCATCAGGTAGGGAAGTAGAGTTGAGATGAACTTTTTCTTAAGTTTGGTTTTAATTAAATGTCTTTCTGTGAATGGAAATGATTCTTGTACTTGTTGGCTTTTCCAAAGCAGCACTCAAGCTTGACAGGCTGTTGCTTTTTCTAGGCATTTGATGGGGTGCTGCATCACAACAATTCAGCACAATGTAAAATTAACCTGATAATGTATTTCAAATATAAATCTATTTAGCATTATATTTCTTAATGATTTCCTATTATACTACTGTCAAAATATGCAATTATTTCTACTTATTTTCTGAAAATCTTGTTCTGATTATTTTGAGAAATTGTTTTTTATTCAAAACCTGCTAATATCAATAGGAGGAGGTTTTCAACAGCGTGGATACTGGGTCAGACAGCCAAATAAAGATCATGGAGTATCAGATCAGTGCTGTGTAGACTTGTAGTTAACCTTTCATTTTCTTTGTTTAGACTCCTACTCCTTCCACATGAACAAATCACTAAAATGAAAAGGAAGCTTTAATAACTAGGGATAAAAAAAAAAAAACAAAACAACAAAAACACCCAACTACCACCAAAATGTACTAGTATAAGTTGGGAATTAATTTTTGTCTTAGCAGAAAACGAGAGGAAAACAGATTTTGCAAGAGAAGCATTTTCATTTGCTTTGAATTTGAAATGGTTGAGTAAATATATATTTCCTCACTCATCCTCATTAATTTTTGCATATTATATCTAGTTACTGCTGAAGGAGAACATGCTGCATCAGATTCAAGAAACTGTGACTGGGGGAAAGTCTCTGCAGCAGCATTATACATGAAGCAGGGATCAGGTTGTCACTTTTTCATGGAGAAATTTGAAAAGGCTATGCCTCTGCACAGGGGGAGAAAAAGCCACTAAAGAAAGCTTACAGATAGGAAAAAAATGCAGAAAGAGTTAAGGAAGTTCAGGGAAGAGCTTTCAATGCAAACATGATTTTATTTTTCCCCTGTGATAAACAATTATCTAATGATAAACTGTGAGTCTTAATGATTCTGATTTTGGTACTGCTCTGTTTTGCAGAAGCACGCCTGGAGAAGAACATCGTTGCAACTTTCATCCTGATGATTAAACACTTTATTCAGAGACACCATGTTAATCAAGAAAATCTCATTCACTCCCATGGAGTTGCCACCCTAGGAACCTTGTTGCAGAAGGTGAGTAAATTTGAGAAACAACCCTTAGAAATGATTGTTACAGGTGAGGTCCAAATTAGTTTGACATCTTAGTTTGTCTAGGATGCAAGGTTTGCCTCAAAGGTTTGCTTAATACATGCGTTTCTTTCTCATGCTTCTGGAAACAAGGAAGTGTAAGGAGCTGGCCTTGCTCTACAAAGTGAAACGTGGTGTTCTGCTTTTGCTTGTTGTATTACTTAAATAAAAGCAGACTTGCTGTAAAAGAGAAAATAAAAAAATATATTGATTTGAAATAAAGAATATCCTAATAAACTCAATATTGAGTGTTAAGCTGTTATTTTGATAGGTGCCAAGCATCTTAATGGATGTGAATGTACTGATGGCTGTACAGCTGTTGATAGAGCAAGTCTCAGTTGAAAAGAACTTGCAACTTCTGCAACAAATGTATCAACACTTACTTTTTGACTTCAGCATCTGGAACAGTGGGGACTTCCCTTTCAGAATTGGTAAGTTCTTGGACATAGGGCAACTGCACAAAGACACAGTACTTCTCACTTAATATAAATATTTTTCTAGGTTCTAATATGAGACTCTATATTGTAGGGCATATACAGTATCTTTCTACGATCATCAAAGACAGCAGGAGGCTCTTCAGAAAGAAGTATGGTGTACAGTTTCTTCTAGACACACTGAGAGTTTATTATGGGTATAAGTTTTACCTTTTCTCACTTCCTTTGTTGTATGTAGTTCTGTAATGTTGTAATGGAAATACTAAGTCATGGCTTGAAACAGCGAGCACATGTTGGGAAGGCAGGGCCAACCTGGGAGAACCTGGGTGTATAATGCAGTCAGTGCACCTGAGTGACCAGAAGGGTGAGCCAGGATTCACACCTCATTTAAGGGTTGGCAGTGGTATCTTGTTGGATATCCCTGCATACTTGAGATCTCCTGAATGTAAGCAGCTTTCCTTTATTTCTGTGCCCACAGCTGTTGCAATTTGAGCAAATCTTCATTTGCTCAAGCCTGGGACCTTGTTGCTCTGCTGTCATTGCTGCATTTTTCATCATGTTACAAGTGTCCACCTCTTTACTCCTATGTCCCCACTTGTTCTAGTAAGAAAGGAAATAAAACTGGCTGGCTTTTTTGGTTGATTTCATTTTCAAAAAATGCATGAACTTGTTTCCATTTTACTTGCTACTGCTCCTTGACTTTGATTTTTATGATGGGATTACATAAAACTTATGCCAGGAATACCAGGAATGCTCAAAGAGTAAAATAACTAAATTTAAGAACTTACCATCAACAATACCAATGCACTTCTAGATGATCACAGTTGTGATAAGAGCATCCATCATTTTAAGATACTTAGTTCATTTATATCCTTGTCATATTTGAAGTGCAACTCAGTTATTACTAATTATGGAGCACTTGCTTAAAATTCCTTTCTTGTCTGTTGGTATTTAGAACTGGCAGCAAAGACAGTGATTTAACTCCTGATGACCTGAGAACTATACAGACATCCCTTTATGGACTGATCAAATATTTTCTAAGTAAAGGTGGAACACATGAAGAAATACAGAGCATTGTAGGATACATAGCTGCTACCAGTGAAGAAGAACAGGTATCCAGTGTGGTCTAAATTAGTATTAACTGTATGTGATTTGGTTTTAGTTTTATGTTCAGGAGTTAGACTTGATCCTTAAGGGTCCTTTCCAATTTGGGATATTCTGTACTGTTCTGTTTAGAAACCTTATTTGCACAAAGGTATGAGAAAACAAGCAAAGAGTTAATTGGTTTATGCTTTTATTAAGATGTGCTTCCATATATAACCTGTCTCAGCTACATGGGAATCCTTACAAAAGTGCTCTGTTGGTAGCTGTGCTTTTACTCATTTTCTCTTTATGAAAGAAAATAAATAGACTTTGATCAGTTTTTGTGGTGATGTGAATTCCTATTCCGTAGACATTATTAGTGCTTGAACTTGTTTTGTATTACCCTTTACAGCTTAATAGTGTTCTGCATATAGCAAAAATGTCCACTTAAATGTGGAAACAGTGAACAGACAATGTACATTGTATAGCAAGAGAAAAATTTAAAAGCAAGGGGTTTTTTTTGGATGGAGAATGAAGTCTGCATGAATTCTAGATTAACTCAGTTGTCTTAATTTTCAGCTCTGTGGAATCCTGGATGTTCTGTTCAGCCTTCTTCATTCCAGCTCAGCCCCAGATCAGCTTTTTTTATTACTTTTTGAACCAGGAAATGCTGATATTCTTTATGCTTTGTTATTGCACCAGAGATACTCCGACAGGCTTAGAGAACTTGTGTTCAAGGTAATAAATTGAATGATATGTTTGTAAATTAATCAACAGAGCATAGATTTGTATTTTTCAGTAGTCTGACTGCAGAAGTGCAAATGCTTACAAAGATGCCAGTCATTCCAGTTTAATTTTTTCTAATATGTAAGCAACAACATGTAGCTAACCACTGTAGTTGCAGTGCTCTCCTACTGTCAAGCAATAGAAGTATTGGGATCTTTAAAAATGAGTCTGAGTTTGTCATTAAAGGGTTTTTTGTAAACTATGGACTACTATGCTATGTCATACGCAATTAAGTTTAAACAGTCTAGATGCTTCCTCATTATTAATTTGTTTTTGTGTGCTTTTTCATGCAGATTATGGAAGAGATGCTGAAATGTACTAAAGTTTATGAACGTAGTAAGCACCGTATGAGACTCAGAGAAGTGGGGTACTCTGGACTTGGACTCCTTTTGAATGAATCATCAGTCACTATTTCTCTCATAAAAAACCTTCTTAACCAAGTTCTCCATGCAGGTAATGGGGAAGTGTTGTCTACTATTAGTAAATGCCTGTTTGCTCAGAGGCAAATACATTTGTTTTTTGCTCAGGAAAAAGTTGTTACTTTATGAATCTGTTCTATTTGCAGTCCACGTTAGTCTCGGCTGTTTTCTTAATTCCCTGAAGTATGTTCTCTTTGCCATTCCTGGTTATAGAGGTGACCTCCAGAGGTATTTTTAACATTTAACTGTTACATCGTTTGCATGGTATAGTTTGATTTGTTTTTTTCTCCTCCACAGATCCTGCTGTGAATTATAAAGATCTTTTAGCTGTAGTGCATCTGGCTCATAGATCAGATATAAACATGAGAGTGGTTATCTGTAGAAAGGTTAGTTACCTTTAAAAATAGAATACTGTTAAATCCATAAACTATATGGTGTGGTGTCTTATTTGAGATGTTTTAGCTCTACTGGTTGCTGCTGTTGATACTGCTACTTCTCTTTAGTAATGATTTAGGATGTTAGGAATAAAGCTAATATGGAAATTGATGTTGAACTTCATATGTTCAAATCTTTTAAAAAACAAAACCCAAAGTCTCTCTAGTGATCCTCAACTAGCTTATTTTTTTAATGGTTTAGAAGTATTGACTTCCTTGAATTAGTTTTCTCAAGGGATGCTTAAGCTTGAGGTTTTGTTTTATTCTTAATGTTATTTTTAATAGAACATGTAATGGCTCAAGAGTTTTTAAGGATGCAGAGAGGAGATGGAAAAAGCAGTAACTCTTTCCTTAAATGAGCTCTCTGGTTTGTATCACTGGAATTGGCAGTACTGAATGTAGTTGTGAGGAACTATATTCTATACCAAAGTTTCTCAAAATAAACCAAGTGTATGATATCAATAAGCTAGTAATACTGTAGCTTATTTCAGCTTTCTTAATTTTTTCTGTTTAATAGTTTGTAATCAAGCACATCAGGTGCTAGGACTTTTTAATGGGATTATTTGCTCTGATAGTTGCCTTTTCTAGGAATTGCTGTAGAAGAGTGACTGAAAAGTAAGGACTTACTGATGTGCATCGATAGTTCTTTTTTCCCCTATGTTGTATTCCTGGGAAATTTTTTGCTCTTCTTTGCATTTTTAATTTTGAGTGATTTTTGTGGCATATATACTTTCTGTTAATTCAGTATGACTTCTTTGATAAAAAGGCAAAGAAAGCTGTAAGGTTGTAGATCTTGTAATTTAAAAGAATGAATATAGTTTCAAGTTATAATTAATGTGTAAGTGTGAAATATCTTCTATCCTTAGGTTTTGCATCTTTTGCATTCCCAACTGGATGCAGCACAACAGATTTCTCAGCAGCTGGGCTGGCAGGACACTTTGATTAGACTCTTCCTGAAAGAGAATTCTGAGGTCCGGATTGGCTTTAGAGAAAATAGGGCTGACTCCTCAAGGGAAGAGGAAAAAAAGCCGCCTGCTGAAGAACTTCAGAAATATCATGCAGATAAGATGGAGGGAGATAAAACTGATACCTTTGCATCTGTGAATGGTTTGTTTGATCAGTGGAGTTTAGAAGACAATAAATCCTTGGATGTCCCAGCTCATTTCTCTGCTATGCCACTAGAAGATGCATCCACAGCAGAGATGTCTTTCAAGTCAGAGGACCGAGAAGATTTGTGGCACAGTAATCCTTCACATTTGAGTCTAGATCTGTCCAGTGTTGACTCTTATGAACTGGCTGATGTTGTGAATCAGATGACAGACAGCCTGCCCAGCACACCATCACCTATAGAGAACAGAAAACCATTTTCTGGGCAGCCTGAAAAGGAGTTAGATGTCATAAGTGATGTAGGCTTCAACGCTGCTGATCTATCTTCATTTGAAAATCAAGGAGTAAGTAATTTTCTACCTATGTGGTTAATTTCTCCTAATGACTGCAACTTTTTTCCTTTCTAATTGTATCCCTAATGGGTATATAATCATTGTCCTCATTGTCCTTTCCTTCTTTTATCTTCTGAAGGAAAATAACAAATAGCTTTCTTACAGTCAGTGGGGACATCTCTGGGTTGTCGTCTTTTGGTTGGAATTGCTTGGGCAAAGGTGGAATGGGGGGAATGAAAGGGCAGTTAAGGGTTAGGTTTAAATAATGATGTAGAAGTCAATATGTGTTACAGTTTCTGGGAAGCCACTTTCTCCCATATTTTATGTATTTAACTATTAGACTTGAGACCATGGAGTTTTCAAAAACAAACATACATTTGGAGAGCATAGACTATGATGGAGAAACTTTGTGAAGATTTATAGGAGTTGAAAGGCTCTAAATATTGCTTTTCTCCTGCAGGGTGGTGATAATGAACTGATACAGTTACTTACAGATATCCTGCTGTGCATAATGTGGAAAGGCATTGAAAGATCTGATGATGAGGCTTGGGTAGAGAGAGGACAGGTGTTTTCTGCACTGACCAAACTGGGAATATCTAATGAGTTGCTGCGACCTTCTGATGAAATAAAACTCAAGTGAGTGTACTGCTCATGGGCAGGTTCTATAATTTTTTTTGATGAAAAAGGGAAAAAATGAGTGGGCTTTAGTAAGGCTAAGAAGGGATGGATGTTTACTATCAAGATACAATTTTCTTAACTCTATCTTCACGTACTATCAGTATATTTTACTACCTATTAGGTAGCGTAATGTGGTTTTAAGGTTTTGAAAATCTGTATTCCAAGTTTCATGTGCTTTTTAAAATCTTTTTTACATCACTGTCTTATTGAGAATAAGTTATCGCTATGGACTGAGAGATTCAATTAAATACTTAATAGGATTTTTTTAAAGCCACTTACAGCTGGAACATGTAGTAATTGCTTTGGGATTTTGTTTTACATGCAGCTTGTTGGAGAAGATGTTAGAATGGTCAGTCACTGATAACAGAGATTCTAAAGCTCTCCCTACACACACTGAAAATGCTTTCCGGCTCTTGCTAATTGTACAAGATTTCCTGCAGGCAGAAGGACTTGTTAACTCAAATTTATGGACAGAAAAGGTACAGTAACTGCATATTGGAAATTCTGTGGGCAGAAATAATAATGAAAAAGTTGTCCACTTGGATAATATCTCCTCTAGGTGTTCCTTTTTAAACTAGGGTTCATAGTGAAATGTATTAGATTGTCCTTTAATGAGAAAATCCTAAAAGCTTACTACAGGGAATATTGGGCACACATTTGTAAGTAGCTCAGTTTTACATATTCAGGGAGTCAGAAACATGAGCCCTGGGGGAGGAAATGACTAGTGATCACAGTAAGTAGTAAGAGAAACTGTTTCCTGACTGTTTCCTGCTTTCTTCATGTAATTATGTAGTTTCAACAGTAGTCTTTCCTCTTGTGCTGAGTTGTCCTTGTTTTTCCATTTTTGGGAGACATGAGTTATTTGTTGGAAAAAAAAAAAAAAGTTAAGTCTTCAATGGAATAATTGCTAAGCTGCTCTCCATACCACAGGCTTGTGAACAGAGTAATTGTAGAGATTTCCTTGTTTTTTTTTTAAGGCTGCTCTGGGTAAAGGTTTTGCTTCTTCTTATGATCTAGCTTTGTGAAATCTAATTAGAAATGAGATGTGAACTTTGGAGCAATGGGGGTTGTGCTTATTGCCATCTCTGAATTGAAAATAACTACTTTTGTAAATTGCCTTCCACTGTGCCTAGGGAGAATTTAAAGCACTGTAGTATTTTAAGCAGGCACACTTCCAGCTTGCTACGGAAGCTTTCATGTGAGTCTGGGGCTTAAAAGAGCAATCATTTTATATTTTAGAAATTTTTTAGGGAATACAGCAAAGCATGTTATTTTTGAGTAAATGTCTTCATAAGGTAATGACTCATTTTACCATGAATAGCTTCATTTCTTAGTGAGGTTTTGTCAGTATTTCTATGTTAAGAGAGATTCAGAAAGACCTCCTAATCTAAGGTATTGATACTTATGAAGCTTCAAACTTCTCATCAAATTCAATATTCGTTGATGAAGCCTTGCTTTACTTCTCAAGGCACCATACATAACACTGTTGCTGGTGAATTATATTGACATTACTCTCACATCATGTACAACACAAAGTAAAAGAATTAAATGAAAACCCATAGATACTGAACTAGAAATTGCTTGTTGGTGTAATGTCTGTACAGTTGATAAGAATGTCTTTTCAATTTTAGTAATCCTGCTGCAGGAATCTATAGCTTTTTCTAAGGAGTTGACATTTTCTGAAGTAAGTTACAGAAAGAAGATAGACATGTATACTATATGTTTGTTTTGGCTTTGTTCGGGAGATACTAGGCTAGTTGTATTTTGCAGTTAATTTTTTAGGTTACTGGTTTAACTACAATATTTTAGGATGATATTACGGCTTTGGGTAAGTTAGTGTGAATTCTATAGTTCTTTGAAACGATTGCATCTCCAACTGGAATAGTTACTGATTATTTCTGATGTTTTACACAAATCTGCTTTTATGACAGCTATTGGAGGAATTGGTGACTCTTATGGATAGCCTGTCAGTCTGGTACTCTGCTGGCCCAGAAGCAGCCTGGTTTTCACAGGTGCAAGTCCAGTTGCTCCTTGGATTCATTGCACAAGACAACTTGCAGGTTTGTTCCAAATTCCAATATATTTTAAGTGCATATTTGGTGTAACTGTTTTGGTTCTGGAGGAGCTGCTCGTACCAGTGAGAAGAGTGATGGCAGTCTTTTATCCTTCTATATGAAAATGGTAAGCCCCAGTAAAATATTTGCGAACTCTGTGGTCCCATCAATGTGCATATCTTGAATATGTGAATGAGGTAGAGAACAAGCTGTTTGAACATGGAGGTTATGTAGCTTCTAGTAGCAGTAAGATAGCAGTCCTGATTGCAACTTTTCATTTCTACCATAAAATATGTTTGTTAGTGGTTTCAGGTTTGCACAGATTCAGTGCACGTGAATCTTGACTGTTAGGCTGAATGGACAATTGGTATAAAGTTAGCAGAGCTGTGTCTGGAGTAATGAACCTTCAGAAACCCCAGACTTGTTTGTTTAGGCACATACTTATCTTAATGCAGTTATGTGGCTGAGGTTGCAACTGACTCAGGTTGAATTAAGTGATCAGTGCCTGTATGTGATGCCTGCGTGCCCTCAGGCTGCCTGAGATACAAACAGAGTATGTAAATACTTATGTGCTAGAAGATAAGTGCTCCAAATTACTATTTTGAGTTGCTCTCACTTTGCTGTTTGTCTATGTAGGTCTGTGCTATGGCAGCAGCCAAACTGAACACCCTTCTTCAGACCAAAGTAATAGAGAGTCAACCTGAAGCATGCTACCTGTTGGGGAAGCTGGAAGGTATCCTAAGTAGATCAATTGAAGAGAAGACAGAAACATATTCATTTTTGATTCCACTTGTTCGGACGCTGGTATCCAAAATTTATGAACTTCTCTTCATGAATCTGCATCTCCCTTCATTGCCTTCTACCAATGGCAGCCCCTCTTTCTTTGAGGACTTCCAAGAATATTGTCGATCTGATGAATGGAAGGTTTATATTGATAAATATGTAAGTAGTTGACTCTTTTGGTGTCATTCACACTTGTTTTCATCATTAGAGCAGAGCAGTTCATATTCAGAAATCATATGCACTTTGTTTTGATGGGAACAGATTATTCCAAATATGAAACAGTATGAAGAAAACTCATTCAGACATAGTCATGAGCAGATGGCAGTTTATTGGAAGGATTGTTATGAAGCATTTATGGTGAATATGCACAAGAGAGATCGGGAGAGCGGAGAAAGCAAGTTGAAATTTCAGGTAAGGTTTCCGGTAGCTTTTTTGTCTCAGAATTAATGTACCATAAAATGGAGAAGTTGAATTCCAAGATAACCCAATTCAAGTTACTGCTGGCATGTTGGTGGTTCTGTTGAAGATTTTTCTGAGCAGTCTGCCAATATATACGTGTATATACGTGTTTAATTCTGTTATTTTTGTTGAAGAGTCTTATCTGTAAGCAGAATTATTTCAGGACAGATCTTCCATAGTACAGCAACCTGGGATTATCCTTAGCTATAGGCTGCTTTTTCCACTTTGATGTATGTTTTGAATTATTAAAACCTGAATTATTAAAACCTCCATTATGATATGATTTAGCGTTGCAAATTCTCTCAAACCTAGGGAACAGTTTAGAACTGTTAGCAGGTCCCATTTATTGTGTGGAAGAACTGTTTCTGAGCTGACCTTTCTGTGTAAGGTTCAGACTCCGTTCAAGAGTTAGAATTAATAATGCTGTAGTTCAGCAGTTAAGTCTTCAAAAATCTCTCTTGTAAGCAATGCCTTACACTTTCAGAAATGTCTACTGCTAAACCACTTCTGTACATTTGTTGTTTGTAAGAACGCCTGCAAGTTACAAAACCGTTCTTTCAGTGCTGGATTTGTTCTTAATGGTCTTTCAGGAGCATTTTGTGGAACCGTTTGGCAGAAAGGCTCGACAGGAAAACCTGCGGTACAACAGTATGCTAAAGCAACTTAATAGTCAACACACAGCTACTCTGAGGCAATGGAGAGCAGCCCAACTTTACTTACTCTCTGAACGTGGTCCTTGGTCTGAAATGTAAGTGAATTTCTTGAATCAAACAGGATGTGATGCTTAAAAGGAATTTGTTTGTGTTGTTTACTTGCTATTTCATATGGCTAGAACCTTTGTCAAATCGACCTGGATAGCCATTCTTGAGATATGAATTTAATATTGAATGTATCCTTAATGATTTCCGCATTTCAATTGTAAACGTAGGAAGTTTGAAGTGTACATCTGAGCTGGTTACCTGGAGTGACAAATGCAAATTTATTATCAACATTACTCTTAAAAAAAACATGACAAAAAATAACGAAAACAAACTTCTTGAGATATTCTACTCATAGATGGTTCCTTTGGATGGGGAAAATAGTCTTAAAAACCTCTAACTTACAATTTTTAATGCATGAAACTAATGTCAATTTAAAATGCTACTTTTCCCCTGCCCTAACTTGTGGGTGAATTCTGTCTAAGACTTTCTGGAACTTGTGGTGTAAACAATTTGCTGTATTTCAGTTGAAAATGAATGCTGCATACAAAATGTTTTAAGATAACCAGAGCTGCAATATTGACATACTACTGAAATGCAATTTATAGCTTTTATGTTTTGCAGTCTACCAATGTGTAGGTGACTTGAGGATTTTTTTAATATGTATTTCTTTGAGATCACTTTGCTCATAGTTTTTTTTTTTTACCTTCTCTTAACTATTTATATGAATGTTCTTGTTTTCTCAGGAAACAGCATCCTGTTCACTGGAAACTTTCAAATGTTGAAAATTTTTCACGTATGAGACTAAAACTGGTGCAGAATTACAACTTCAACTCTCATCAGGATGCTAGTGACCTGAGAGATAATTTAGGTAGTGGTGTTATACTTAATAGTTTACTTGGAGTCTGTGACTTTCTCTGATATGTCTCTGTTTTTAACAATCAGTGTGTTACAGAAAGTTAAATCATATTTTTGTTATTCCCTCTATGGTAATAATGTTTAACATAGGAGTGATGCTTTGACCTGAAGCAGCTTCTTTTCCATATGGGAAGAATTTCCTCTTGTTTATTGAAGTGTGTATTTTTGGAGGAAAAATAGTTCAAGAGCTCCTTTGTTTTATAATAAGCAGTTGCATATTTTTCTTGGATCCTGTAAACCCAGATTAACTAAAAACAACAAGAAAAACCCCCACCAATGTGCATCACTATGAAACCTGCATGCTGCAAGAGCATCTGGCAAAACACTATGGAATATCTTAATGGAGATGTCTGCATTAGAATACAGTTTTGAAGTTTTTCTGTCTTCCTCATATAGTTATATAAATTTTATTTCTGTATATGCAGGCAATTTAAATACATACATAAATAGGATTGTAGAATCCTTGGAGTTGGAAGGGACTGTTAAAGGTCATCTAGTGCAACTCCCCTGCAATGAAGAGGGACACCCATAATTAGATGAGGGTGTCCAGGGCCTGATCCAGCCTTGCCTTGAAAGTCTCCAGGATTGGAGTATCTACCACATCTCTGGACAGCCTGTTCTAGTGCCTCACCACCCTCTTGTTGTAATGTTCCTTAATCATTTTGATGTACTGTGAATACCAGTCAAATTTCATTATTTTCTGAATTGTACTGTTACCAATTGATGTATACTTGAATGCAATTCATGGAGCATTTTTAAAATGTTCTGCTTGCCCTCTGGAGTTTGAATTGAAGAAGTTGCTTCTTAATTAAGATAGCATTCAACAGTAGAAGATCCACTCAGTAGTTTAACTTAAAAATGGATTAGCAAAAAATTTTGAGCTGTTATACCTGTTACAATAGGTGTGTACCAGACACAACCCTCTAGTGAGTCTCTGCTTCTGGAGGTGGTAAAGCAGGTGAAAGTGAGTGACTTGGAAGATGATGTGCTTGAACTGCCAGAAGAAGACACAGCAACCAGTTCCAATATGTAAGTGCAACAGCAATGAGCTGCTGAAATTCATTTATGTAATTTGTATGTGGGAAGGAGTAAGGAATCAACTTCAAGAATTGATTAGCATGCAAAACTTTCCTCTTTGTTTGTCTGTCCTTAATAGTTCAATCCAGGGTTTTGTAGTAATTTGTGCAGCAGAAAAGCTGTCGTTAGATTTTTCATTATAAACAATGATGCATAAAGAGCATCAGGGAAAAGGAAGTCTGAGTATTAAGCACAGAGCATTTGTGAAGTTACGTGAGTGATTTGCTGCTCTCAGTTGGTCTGAGATTGCAGGGTTGTTGAGGCTTCCCACTGTGCATTTGCTGTAGTTCTCAGGGGATGGTCTAACCTGTGAGAGTGTGGACCAGTTTGAAACCAACTCTTGTCCAGGGATGGCAGAGCTGTTCGTTATGCTGTCAGCTGCATAGCATGAATATCTAACTAGTGTAATCTAATAGTCTCAGGGGAGAAGACTAGCTGTGCATCCTTCATGGACTTTAGGAGACTCTTCCTCTCAGTTTTTTCTTAATAGAGAGGTGGGGATCTTGATTCCATTCACTCTGGCTACTGTGCGTGTGCCTATGTGTCTATGCTGTTGAAGCCCAGAAGAGGTGCAGGTGTTTCTTAGTGATATTGATGAATTCAATTGTACCTCACAAGCAAATCTTCAGTAACTTTTGAAAGCGTCTCTGTAGGCTTAGGATCAACCACTGCTTCAAATATGTCTGAAGTTCACTTTAGTAACAGGAACCAGGGCTTAGCTTTAGGCCAGATTATTCAAGCACCTTCAGTATGAAAGAAATGCAACCCGTTGTTTTTGTACTTCAGAGGAAGTCAAGTTCATTGTGCCTGAAACTGAAATAGCAAGCCCAAAAAACGTTAAGAAATGTTTCATACCAGACTACTGGACATTTTAATGCTAATAGAAGTGGTTTCATATAATCTTGCATGGTGTACTTCCTGTCTTTCAAATTTGATTCTTTTCTAAACTGTACTTTTACCAAATATCTAAGCAACTTTATAACCTACCCAACCCCTAACACCTAGTGCTTTTTTGGTAGGGATGAGAAGGATGAACAGAGTCAGAAAGAAAAGCTAATATTGTCTGAAAACTGTGAACTCATTACTATAATTGATGTGATACCTGGCAGACTGGAGGTCACTACTCAGCACCTATATTTCTTTGATGGTAGCATCGAAAAAGACGAGGGTGAGCATGACCAATGGCTTCTTATTTTCAGTGCATTTCAGCATTCTGTTTTTAGTAGAGATTTAGCACTAAACTAATTGTAAAAAGGTAGGGTGTGGATCTGTACTTAATATTGTTACTGGAGGTCAGCCTCTGACCAATACAATTAGAGTAAACAGTCTGAAACTATACAAACTGAGCTCTTACAGATTATTTTTATAGAAATAATCAACATAATAAAAATTATTTGCTGACAATGTTGCTAATGAGCATAATGTTATTTCCTCTAATGTATTTCTTAAACTGCACTTCTGTTCTACATGATGTTTCGCTTATGTGCTGATTAAGAATAGTATGTGCTGATTAAGAATAGTATGTTGTATTTTTTAGTAGGAGGTAATGATTAAGTAACAGTATGTAAAAATTAATGGCTATTTTTTTTACTTAAGGAACGTCAATGAAATGTGCATGGTTAAGCATGAAAACAATGAATTGAAATGTTTGACTGTTGTTGGTAAAATTTGAGAAACTATAGATCAAGGCACTAACCTTTTGAGAATTCTACACAAGTTTCTATTTGAGCCTGATGAAGAAAGCAAAGATGTTTCAGTTCATATTTTTTGTCAACAAATTACATTCATAATGTATTTTGATCAGAAAGCAAAACCAAATTCTTCATCCTATTGTTTATTTCCTGTCTTTTTTTCTCTTTTAGTAGAGCAGATGAGGCTAGTAATGCTTCTAAGCAAAATGTTTCTCCAAACCATGTATTAAAAAATGCTTTTTATGGTTGACTGTGGGGTGCTTGGTACTGCATTATTTGAATAAGGAAAGTTTTTGAAAAGATTTTGATTCCAAATCAGTAATCAAAGTACTCTTCCTAGGAGTTGGTTTTGATTTCAAATGGCACCTTTCTCAAATTCGAGAGATACATCTGCGTCGGTACAACCTGAGGAGGTCAGCTTTGGAGATCTTCCTTACAGATCAAACCAACTACTTCCTCAACTTCAATAAGGAGGTATGTGTTAGCCAAATTTTCTTGTTTAGTGTTATTAGTACAAGTGTCAAGTTTTAGTTCACTGACCTTATCTGTATCTGGTGTCTTTCATGAAACTGGGCACACTAATGGTGAATTATTTGCTAGGCTTAAAGATTATAGGAAGATAAATTGCAGCCTCCAAAAAACTCAGTCTGACATCTGAAAACTGAGTAAAAAAAAGTGAGACTTCCTGTCTCTTTTTAGTGATACAGAGCTGTAATTCAACTAAAATTACATCAGTAGTAATCTGAATGTCTTGAACCTGCTTTGACAGGGGAGTTGGATTCGATCTCTGGAGGTCCCTTCCAACCTCTACGATTCTGTGAAGCTTGCACTCTTAAAAAATATTCTAAGTAAATTAATTACTAATAAAAGAGACACAAAGTTAGAAATATTTGTGTTCTGTGGTTTACGTTTAACGAGCTTTTATTTTTCTCCTGAATGTGGAACTAAGATAAATATCAGGACTTAAGGAAAGTTATATACCAGTGAGTCAATTCAATAATAACAGCTGAAAAACATTTTAAGTAAATATTTGTGTTAGTTTTGTAAGGAAAATAGCGAAAGTTTATTTGAACAGCAGCCTTCCTAGAAGAGTATTTTGTGGAATTTTTGTCACTGCAGCATCGAAAAAAAAGTCACTTCGACGTATATCCTAAAACTGAAGGATGTCGTATCCATGTGTCCAAAGGCTTATACAGCAAGAGACGAGTGCATGTTCCATCTGCTTTGCACTGTAACAGTGAAATTGTGTACTTGTCAGCTTCAATATCTAAAATTTTTATGCTGTTTTTGAACAGGTAAGAAACAAAGTATACAGTCGAATATTGTCACTGCGTTCTCCAAATATTTCTGGGACCCGATCTCCTCAGGAGCTCTTTAAAGCTTCAGGCTTGATGCAGGTATGAAACTTCAGCACAAATAATATTATCCTGCTTCTTGAAGGAGTTTTATACATCCCTGAGTACTGATTTTTATTTATCATTTTCAGATGGCAACTGCCAACTTCTCTACTGCTAGTCTGATGTCTAAACTTCCACAAGCATATTTTTTTAGAATTGCGGTCTTCTGTGTTGAGTCACTGAGTTTATGCCATGTAAATAGTCTGGTGCTGGTGTGATTATTACAAGTGATCCAACAAGAATAGCGAACATGTAGCAGATTTGCTTTTGGTCTGTGGTTTTTTTACATATATTCTCAGTCTTGGTACATGAGCAAATGTTCTCTGCCGTCTTTTCATGATAGGGCTTTCAACAAAGCATGTATGAAGATTGAGCAGGAAGTATAGTTTTAAGGGCATTGGTTTTTTACTTGTAAAAGTAAAATATGGACATCTTGATATTACCCTAAACTTGGATGATTTCTCTAAATACAGTTAATTGATTTTCATTTTCTATCTCGTTATCCTACGATCATAGTCCTCTTTGAGGCAATGATGGAGGGGAAGGCAATTCTTGCATAAGAATTTGAAAAATATTGGGAGTACTTCATTTTTAATTTCTTTTCCCAAGGACATTAGGTATCATTTTGTATATTTGTGGTATATCTGCATATTCTGTACTGAAATGTTTCCATCTTACTACATAAAGCTATTTAATCCTTCTGATCACAGCTCTGTTGGTTGATTGGTTTAAAGTAGAATAATGGAGGAAGGACAAAATATGTTTACATGTTCTTCTACCATTAACCAATGGTAGAAAAATTTATAAGTAAGTTCTGACCTTTGAACTATAATGGATTTCAAAGTTCAGTTCCCAGTTTTTTCAATATCTGTTCACCTGTATTCTTTGTTTCATTTCTATTTTGCTTCCCCTTTTTGTTCTAAGGCTGCTAGCTGTCTGCTGTGTTGCATTTTAAAACAGTACTGGTATCAACCAAGGACATGATTTCAATGAAATACAGCACAATCAATGCATTTCAGTGAAATGTAGCAACTCTGTAAAATGTAGTATAATCATCAAATCAAATGGGAAATGATGATGACTGTGAGAAATGAAATTTGAACATTCGTATCATGCTCATAATCTAGTGCCTTTTACTTGCTGATAGTACCCTCTAGCAGAGAAGAAATACTGATGTGTAACGTGCTTCCATGTTCTTTTTTTTGTCCTTCAGAAATGGGTGAATAGAGAAATATCCAACTTTGACTACCTTATTCAGCTGAACACAATGGCAGGACGAACTTATAATGATCTTGCTCAATATCCTGTGGTAATTAAGTTTTTGCTGAACTTATGTATTTTTTCTGTTTTTTTTAAAGATGAATTTAATCTGTTTGATTTCATTACTTTTTTCTTTCCAGTTCCCCTGGATTTTACGAGATTATACATCTGAAGAACTGGATCTGAATAATCCAGCAGTCTTTAGGGATCTATCCAAACCCATTGGAGTGGTAAATGAAAAGAATGCTAAGGCTGTGAAAGAGAAGTATGTATTTGAGCACTTAGTTATTTCTGTCATTTGACACTCTATGATAATAAGTATTTAAAAATACAATAGTGACACTGACACTTTTAAAATCTAACAATTTAATATCCCAGATGCTTTTGCAAAAGTTTGACAGTTTTGTTTCTACTGTATTCAGATTGGTTAGCTCATGCAGCACTGAAAGGACAAAATCTACTGTTGTAAATTGAGATTTTTCTCTGGGGAGATGAAAAGGTCTGTAGAGAGACTCAGTAGTCTAGTAGTTTGAAGAGATATGCTGTCTTGTATCTGTTTCAAGATAAGGAATGTGAAATCATACTGATGAGGAGCTGGATATGTTTCCTGCTTTTTTTTGTGTGTGTAGGTTATCTTTGATATAAAATGTAACTCACTTGCTTCCAGCAGCTCCTTTCTATGTAGGAATGACAAGTATTTACACCTACACAAGTCTGTTTATCCTTCCTTTTTGCTAGTGTGAGGAGTGCTATCACACCAGATGGTACTTGTCAGGCTTCCTGCAAAAACAGTTTTCTTCATGAAATTTGGAACATGGAGAATTTGCTTTGATTGGTGTCTATCCCTGACTATAACAAAACTGATTCTCTAGCAGTACTCAACTGTAATTTTGCTTACTAGCTTTGTGATGCGGAGGAATATATCAAGTGGATGGTGGCATAGTACTGTAGAGTTTGCCAGTAGAAGAAGAAAATAGGCATAAGTGTTAATCTCTGCATCTTGAAATGGTCACACACAAACTGAAATTTTCAGTCTTGCAGGAAATAAATCCTTTCAGTAATATCCAGCTTATTCATGGGTTTACTTTTTTCTCTCTTGTATAAAGTCATGCTAAACAGGGCCAGTCTTGCCCTTTATCCAGTTTCTGATATATTATAACAAATGCATAAGGAAGGGTATAAAGAACAGGTATGATGGATTGTCCTTTGCATATCAAAGTCCCTTTTGCTTAGGGACTTTCTGAGCCAAAATGTGTTCTCATGTTTAATAGAACTGGATGTGATTTTCTTTCACAAATTACTGTGATAATTTCTTTTGAGTCCTTCCAGTAAGTATAATCTGTGTGTATATCAGCTACAGTGCTTAGTTGTATTTACAGAAGTTTTTTGTTGCTGTCTTTTGTTTTTGAAGATATGATAATTTTGAGGATCCCCTTGGAGTGATTGACAAATTTCACTATGGGACACACTATTCAAATGCTGCTGGTGTCATGCATTACCTCATTCGGGTAGAACCTTTCACAACTCTTCACATCCAACTTCAAAGTGGCAGGTACATTGTGAGCAAAGAAGCACCAACTTTTTCTTCCATGTCATTTTTTACCAAGGGAGTAATCAATCTGATGTGAATTTTCTGTCCCCCAGGTTTGATTGTGCTGATCGACAGTTCCATTCTATTCCTGCTACCTGGCAAGCACTCATGGATAATCCCAATGATGTCAAGGAACTTATTCCAGAATTTTTCTACTTCCCAGAATTCCTGGAGAACCAAAATGGTAAATAGACTGCTCAGAATATTCTGCATAGAGTACTCCTCTTCTGAGAAGGATTGTTCCAACCATTTATGAATACTCTGGTGTATTTCATCTTTAAGCCTAATAATATACTTGTAGAAATTACTTCATCATGCTGACTTCAAAACTGTTCAGTGAGACCAGTTGCATTGAGCAGTAGTCTAAATGGTTAAAACTCAGAGTGGGAGATTAAGGATGGCTAAAACTATTGTTGTTTGGTTAACAAAAGAACAGATGCTCATTTGAGTATTTAAAATGAAAAAGTTAACAGAATAGAAAAAAGATCAAATAGCTAAAGTTAATAGAGATTAATAAGTATTTGTATTACTAGATTTGTTGAGTGATGGCTTGGACATCCTAAATCTTCACATCTGTTATTTGTTCCAGGCATTGTGTGTATTTTCTTCTTGTTGCTGTTATCTAACAATATCGTGTGAAGTCAGTTGACTTTAGAGCCATGTAAAATTTCAAAATGTATGAAAAAAGAGAAAGGGGAGGGGAACACAAGCTATTTCGGTCATATATAAATTTCAATCATATGTAAAGTTAATTAGAAGGAGAATGTCCTGCATTCTGATGTGAGACTCCTAGATAGTCTTGTTCAAATTTCTTGCCCAGGGGAGTTTTATATCTCCTAATAGGCAGTTTGAAAGTAGATTTACATGTTTGTGCTGCTGATAATTTGGTCTGGTAGCTATAGTTACTAGAGTTCTAAGTTATTAAAATTTGTAACACCGAAGTCAAGTGTTTAAAAATTAAATATTTAGGGCTGCTGTTATGAAATTTAAGAATTAAAGTCTTAGAATTTAAGACTTGAAGCCCTTGATTCAAGAATAACTTAAACCTATTAGTTATTAGTTCATACTTATGAATAATCTTATTGAAATGTTTTGAAGTTTTAGTCCTAAGAGAGCAAATGAAAGTATGTTTTTCTGATATGAGTGTAAATGACTAATGCTTCTTTTGAGACTGGAAGTATTTTGTAGTAACTCTTAATTCTCCAAAATTCTCACTAGGCTTTAACTTGGGTCAGCTTCAGATATCCAAAGAAGCAGTAAATGATGTTGTTCTTCCCAAGTGGGCCCATTCCCCAGAAGACTTCATTTATAAACATAGGAAGGCTCTGGTAAGATGATAGTTACGCACGAAATAATTATAATGAAAGAATTTTCACTTAACAGCCTTGTGCATGTAAATGCTTGAATGAAAAAAGGAAAGATCCTAAGGATGCTGATGATTTGGATGTTGCCTCCTTAGGAGATATAATGCAGAATTAAATGATTTGGGGTGATAAGCTTCCTCTTGAATTTTAATAATTATAGAGACTAGCAGCTTAACTTCCCTTTCACATCTCCATTTCAACAGTCTAGATGTATTGCTTTGTATTACATTTCCCTCTTACCTGGTAGTTGGTCCTTACTCCATATTCTATGCTTCTGCCCCATACATTAGTGTACACTTAATTTGTGCATATGCCTATTTTAGGAATTTCTTTCACAGAAATCAGTAAATATTTCAAGGAACAACATTCTTATTATTGAGTGTTTTTTTCCTCTAGGAATCAGAGTATGTTTCTGCTCATCTTCATGAATGGATAGATTTGATTTTTGGCTACAAGCAGAGGGGACCAGCTGCAGTGGAGGCACTCAATGTGTTCTATTATTGTACTTACGAAGGTACAAAGCATATACTTTCCTGTCATTGTTATCAGAACTGTGGGTTTTCAGTATTAACTAGAAGCACTTGATTTGTGATCATGCCATGAGGTAACATATAGTAAAGTAAGAGAATTATGAAATGTGGAAGCATAACTTGTATTTGTCAGAATACAGTTTGTTCACTTGCCTAAAAGCATTCATAGGAAGAGATTTCTCATGGTTTAGGAGTTGAGGCAAATTGAGTAAAAAATATTGTGAATTAATATTAGTCTACTGAAGGTGAATTTTGGGTGGCTTTTGTGTGTAACACTGCATGCATGAAGTACATTAAATCCATTTGACAAGTCAAAAAATCTGCATTTCTCATACTGACAACTCCAAAGAATGGTGTTTTCAGGTTGTATTTTATATGAATGCATAGTTTGGAGGCTTTCCTGTGGGAAAGGGTGATAATGCTGCAATGAATTTGTTTCATTTCTTTGCTAATCTTTTCTATATAAACGGTTTGATTTCTATTCTTTTTTTCTGCCCTTCTTTCTGGCTGCGATCCAGGGGCTGTGGATTTGGATGCTTTAACAGATGAGAAGGAAAGGAAAGCTTTAGAAGGGATGATAAACAATTTTGGACAAACTCCCTGTCAGCTGTTGAAGGTAATGCTCTTTTCATTCTCAGTCAGACCTTTGGTTAAATTCAACTGAGTTAGAGAACTTGTGAAAAATAAGTCTTCCACATTAACATTTCTAGGGGTCATTGTGAAGGAAATTTAACATAGCATTTTCAAAAGAAGTTCATTTTCTTTCTGAAATAAGTTGAGTGCCTCATATGACTTCAACAATTTGGTAAGTGTCTAATTTGACTGTCTGATTTGATGCTTCTTCAAATCTTGTCTTCCAGGAGCCCCATCCTCAGAGGTTGTCAGCAGAAGAGGTAGTGCAAAGACTAACTAGAAGTGATACCTCTACTCTGAATCTCTTCCAACACCTCACTGAACTGAAGTCATTCTTCATAGAGGTAGATGCATTATTTGGAGCTGTTTAGTTTGATCTGAGATTTCTGATCTACTTGAAACAAAAAGCCATAAGCCATATAAAGTAGACTTGCTTCCTATTTGAAGAAAATCCTTGAAAGTGCAATTTGTATAAAACAAACAGTATCTTTTTAGTTAGTTTCATAGAAGTTGAATCCCATAAATCTATATCTGATGGACATGAATTTGAGTCTTGTTTGGGTATTAAGTTAATAACTAAATCATGAAAGTTAAGAACAACACTGGTGGTACCTGAGGATTCACTAGGTTTGATGAACAAACTCACTGTTACAGGACAACTAGGGTTTTATGCCCTGGTACTTGTGATGCTGTATACCTGTATGAACTGAGTATGTGAGTGTCAATGCCCAACTGTACTTTACAGGTCTGGTTTTGATTAGAGGATTTAGGTCTTAACTCTTCACAGATTCTACACTTGATCTTTACCTCTTGTGTATAATCAAATCAAAACTGTGTCCTTTCTCTTAGGGAATCAGTGATGGTGTTCCCATCGTCAAAGCTGTTGTCCCCAGGAATCAGTCACGTTCCTTTATGTCTCAGGGAAGCCCAGAGATATTGGTAAGTTGTGTGTGCCAATATTGATCTTGGAGAGTGCCAGCAGTCATAATAAATAGGTACAAATGTGCTGCTTTGCCTTTTTTTATTTTATGTAAGTTCCAATACCAGGAGAAAAGTCTCTGGGTTTCATCAATTTTTCTAACTTTCTTAGGTAACAGCAAGTCTGAATTGCATTATTGGAACCCATGGTTGGCTGCCTTATGATAAAAACATCTCCAACTATTTTACATTCATCAAAGATACTACAGTGACAAATCCCAAGTAAGCAAATGATGAGGACATACAGATGAACGCATCTATAGTAATAAAATAGAGTAATTGTTTGACAATAAATGGACTGTATTTTCTTTGGCTGAATTTTTAGCTAGGTTTGCATCTTCTAGTGCTTAATATTACCTTTCTAGTAAAGAGTCCTGTAAGCGATATTTCATCGCTCTTCATTTTTAGAGCTACTTCTCATTCTATTTTTCTAGTTAATTATTATAAAACATCATCTTGGAATTTGAGATGAACTTCATACAGTCTTAAAATACAGAAAAGTTGTAAGTGGTCATTTTTCCTGATTTTTGAGAAGATTCCTCTTTTACTTTCAAATTACATTATTTACTAGGGTAATTAGTTATTTGTACAGAACTATAAATTGCATGATTTAATCTGGTTTCCACTCATGGCACTGACAGTTTTGCTGTGGATATCAAGGGGGCAGAATTTCATCATTTATTTATAGCCTCTTCTACAGCATTTCTTTTAAGGATACAAGAATTAAAAAAGATTTGAACCAAATTCACTTTTAATTGTTTATCATTTGCTTACAGAACACAGCGCAACATGAGTGGTCCTTTTGCACCAGGACTGGTGATCACTTCTAAGTTGTTTGCAGTATCTCATGATGCAAAACTCCTCTTTAGTGGAGGACACTGGGACAACAGCATCAGAGTGACATCTCTTACAAAAGGCAAGCTGATTGGACAGCACATCAGGCACATGGGTTAGTAATTCTTTACATTGTGAAATGAAAGGCTTTATGTATTGTATCTTGATGTTTGTATTTTTGAAAGAGTTAAAGCCAATGCACCTAAACTGGCAGGTGCAGCAATCATAATAGAATGGCAGTGTAAGAACAGATTATTACCTGGACTGTGATTATATGTAAATAGTTGAGTATGCCTTTTTAGTTGCTGTAGTAATTCAATGTAGTTTCAAAATAAAGCTTGACTACTACTGTTAGGGAACAAAGGTGATAAAGTCACATTAGTACACCTGATTGTATAATGGCTTCACTGGTTGATACAGCCTCATCAGTCATTAGCACAGTAGAATGCTTCATGTTGACTGTAAATGAGGCTACACTGTAGACAGTCTGCATGCTCACCATCACACAGTGGTGAAATTACAATTAAACTACATCAAATTCTTGTTATTTCTCCTTCATCTAGATATTGTGACCTGCTTGGCAATAGATTATTGTGGAATTCATTTAATTTCTGGATCCAGAGACACAACCTGTATGATATGGCAAATAGTTCAGCAGGTATGTTATTTAGGCTTACTCTGAAATGCAGTTTCTGAATCCTTTTGTTTCATTGTCTTGCTGTGATGGTTCATTGACTTACCTTCTTTTATGTTTAACAGTTTAACAGCTTTAACAGTTGCATTTTAGCATTGCATTTCCTCTGTGGAAAGTTCTGGTGACTTAAATCAGGAATTAGCTAAGATAGACTAGTCTGTTTAACTAGTTTTACATTACTCTGGCATTTCAGAATTCTTTAATGCTTTCACACTGCAAAAGTGTACTTAAAAGTGTGATGTTATTTCCATTGTGGCAGTCATATTCTGCATGCTGCCACTTCTCTTCTGCTCCACATTGTTGCCATCTTTCCCAACTCTTTATTCTGACACTTGTTCTGCAATTCATGTGTAATTGAGAATTTCAGGACTTGGTGTTGGCGGTCAGATTTCTCTCACATTAGATATAATGGAGATTCTGCAGAACTGTAACTTTGCTGTAAGCACAGATCTTGCTTGAGAACTGGTCTGACCAAGTCTTTATATGCTGACAGTATACTTGCTGGATCAAAAGTACTAAATCATCTTGACACTCTGCAGTCGTGGGCAAATAATACACTATTTTTAGTGATCATTATTGCAAAATTTCCACTGTATATCATACTAGTGGCAGTTACTTAGAAGTTTTATTTCCTCTTTTTCCCTAGAAAATCAGAGTTAATTTAGTTTTTATGCAAAATAGGTATCATTTTCCTTGACCTTGTCTATGAAGGCAAGGCTTCGTTCCAGGTTAAAATATTAAGAATTGAATAAGCTCAGATAACAAAGTAGTGAGTGGGTGAACAAATGAATCCTGTTTGGAGTGCTCACTGTGGTCCTTGCACACCTGGTCATCTGAAGGAATGAGAAGAAATTGTCTTTCTCCTCTACTTAATACTTGTATGTTCATTCATTTCTTGATTTCACTAAATAGGGCTGTTGATGTAAAAGGTAATAAATTGAAATGGGTGAGTTGTTCCTTTGGTTTTGGCCTGTGTCAAATATACACCTCTCACAGCTAACACTGAAGGTACCAGAAACTTACTTTTGTTTATCCTTCAGCTGCAAGAGAATGTCATTGCACTTTTTGTTACTCTCAGGGAGGAGTGCCTGTAGGCCTGACACCTAAGCCGTTACAGATCCTTTACGGGCATACTGATGAAGTTACAAGTGTTGGCATCAGCACTGAGCTGGACATGGCAGTGTCAGGATCCAGGGTAAGCATCTTCATACTTTCCCTTCTTTGCCACCTCTCCAGTCGAAGCTTACAGTGTGTTTGATGTTAAGAACAATAACAAAAATGTTATTTTACATTCTTCAACCTTGTGTGACAAAAAGATATGCTATCTCCTTTGCTGTTTAAGTCAACTGTATCAAAAGAGACTCTACATAGCATAGACCTCAGCTACTGTGTCAAGCGAGTTTGCACTGATGAGCTTGAGAGCCTGTGAACTTATTTGGAGTACTTAAATTTCTCACAGAAACAATTCTGCAAGAGCTTGTTCCCTGTTTGCCTAATCCCAAAGGCTCTTTGCAGCTTCCTTGTACTCTGCCTTCCTGTACTGTACTGGCTGACTGCTGAGCTCCAACTGCCTAATGTGAATAATGCCTACTCAAAAATGTGTCTTGTAAAAATGGCTGATTTGTTGTCTATCTTTCTCCTATTGTTCTGCTTGAATTTGTTTTTTCATATGCCATTACTATGCAGCCTTGAGGGGAAGGATTCTTCATGCAGAGCCGTTAATGCTCAGAAGTCCACAGTTGACTTTAAGGACTTTCAAAATATTTCATTTTTTAGTAAATACTCATTCTATGTGTTGGTGTAACTTACCTCAGAGCTTGCTGCTGAGTAACAGCTTACCTAAATTTGGTCTCTGCAGGATGGGACTGTTATTATCCGCACCATTCGAAAAGGTCAGTACATGCGAACTTTGCGACCACCTTGTGAGAGTTCCCTACTGCTTACTGTTCCCAATCTGGCTGTGTCCTGGGAAGGCCATATTGTTGTCCACACCAGCATAGAAGGGAAGACCACTCTTAAGGTACTTACGAGGCACTTAGGTTCATAGAATATCTGCTTCTTTTGCCAAAAACATCTAATGATAAATGTGCTTGATTTTATTCTCATTTCCTTAACTGTGGCATTTTTGTTCATACTATCTCTTTCCTTTTTATTTTGCTTGTGGATTTTAGTTAAATATGTTGAAAAGATGAATCACAGGCACACCATGCTGCTGTAAGCTTTTTTTTCCAAACACCTGCAGGGAAGATGTCTTAAGAATGCACTAACAAAATTTCCTGGGAGAGCTACTTTCAAGTGCAAAACTAGGGGAAACATGCTCCATTACTCGCAGAAGTAGAGATTTATAAGGGGAGCAATGTGTTTTAGGATGCAAGATGCCCAGGGAATATGCTGATGTGACTTAATTTTGTGTCAGAGGCAGCTATAGTATTCACAGTGTGACTTGTTCTGTCTGAGTAGCTGTGTAGTCGCTCTAACTGTATAACATAGTTTCTGTGAGGATGGGAACTTTCATGGAAGACAAATGTACTATAAACATAGGCGTACTAGTTGCACTGGAATGATGGGGGAGGATGAAACCAAGGCATTGCAAAACTGGAAGAACTTAAGATGATTATGTTAGCTATGTCTTTAATACTTCAAAAATTCATTGTCTTGTCCAGGAAGTTCTCTGTAAAATAGATATGTTCCTTTCTGCTTCCTGATTTGGGGTTGGGGTGAGGATGCTGAAGATAAGAGGGCTCACTTCTTCTTCCTTAAGAAAAATCATCAAAAAACAGGGACCTGTCCATTAAGCCTGTGGATGTTTCCAGATAATTTGAGATTGATTAGATGGATGGGTATGATGTTATGTTATGTCAAGAGTTATGAAGAGTGACTTCAAAAACTTCCATATGGGAGCAGGAATACATACCCTCTGTGATGGATTTATTTTTTTTATTTAGGATAAGAATGCATTACACCTCTATTCTGTCAATGGAAAGCATCTGGGTTCTGAGACTCTGAAGGAAGAAGTGTCAGATATGTGTGTGACTGGCGAGTACATTGTGATGGGCAGCTTACAGGGATTTCTTTCCATACGCGATCTCTACAGGTAATGTACTTCTGAGTTTCTTATTGAGAAGCAAATACAGAGGTTTATTTAGTAATGTGGGCTCTCCTTGTGCTACAGGTATTAAAATTTGTGGGCTTTTCTGTGTATTAAAAAAAAAATTGTTTAAGGAGAACTAAGATAGGAGGATGTGAAAAATTAGGAGTTGTTGTACTAGGTTCCTTTCCCTGCAGACATTTATCACAACCATCAGCCTGGAACTAACAGAATTTAGGAAGAGCTGTGTCTGATACAGGCAAGCAGTGATTGTTCCTGTATTTGGTTAGTCACTGGGAGCTCATCAGCTATGGTGACTCATGTAGTTCTTCTACACTGCTCTTACAGAACTCCATTGCAGAGTGATGTTTGTCACTTAAACAGATGTGGGACTAATATTCCTGTTCTTCCAATGAGAGTATTTTAATTTTCTGTATGACCTTTCTGTGCCACTTGTCATTGGAGTCTGTATTCTGATGTATAAGTTGATCTTTCTGTGGAATTTCGTAATGTTCAAAATTGCAAACTGAATCCTTGAGAAACTGTTTTGTAGTACATCCCATGGACCATGATCTCAACTGCAATGTGATGCTTTTTAATATGTAAAAGTATACATATAATTAATGCTCTGTGGTTTCTGTTCATTTCAGCTTGAATCTGAGCATCTCTCCATTAGCCATGCGACTGCCAATTCATTGCATTTCTGTCACCAAAGAGTATAGCCACATCCTTGTTGGCTTGGAGGATGGCAAGTTGATTATCGTTGGTGTTGGCAAGCCAGCAGAGGTAAAGCCCACCATCAAGAACTTTTTCTACCGAACAGTGGGAAGTTCACTTATTTCTGCTTTCCAGTTGAGCAAGAGGTCTCCTCTATGGCAGGGTAAATTTAAAAGCAAGTTTCAGTTTTCGGTGGGGAAGAAATAACTTTTGAGACTGCTCTACTGAATTTTCTCCTTAAGAGTCAAAGATATTTGGGGATCACAGATGGGAAGTTCAGCTGGACTAATTTTCAGACTTTGTCACTGACATCTGAATAAGGAAAGTCATACTAGCTATTCTCTTCTGTATGTGTTAGTGTTGTCTACTTTCTGACGAAATAATTTTCCAAAAGAAAATTGGAAATGAGCAAGCTCCTTTATTTTTCATGGTTTCCATCAGGTGTCTTTTAATATGCACTGACTGACACTGGGGAAAAGATTACTTTTTGTTAAGATTCTCTAATTGTAATGCATAAAGAATCTCTTGTGTAGATTCCCCATATGCTCTGGCTCTATGTGATGAATATAAACTTGTTAGTCCTGCATATGCAATAGCAAAGGCAGAGCATCCATCAAGTAGGTGAACCCAGTTCTTCTTGTGCAAAGCAGATTTTGCTCTAAGTACTTGTCATTTTCAAAGCACTTGAGTTAACCTAAACCTGCCTCTCTTTCTAATTCAATCTTCATTCTGCTGCAGTGTATCTACTTGAAACTGTGATAATCGCTCCTGCATGACCTTCAGTACGTGTCAGAAGAGTTTGTTTTGCTTCTATATTTTATTTGTTAATGCAGAGTGGCTTCGTTTCGTAGTACTGAAAGATGTTTCAGCTAGGAGATGTGCAGTTTAATATTTTAAAAAGGCTTCACAGAATTGATTTAGTTTCAGGAAATAGGGGAAGCTTCCACTGCCTTCCAGCTGGACAGCCTTTTCCTACTGTAGAATTGATTAAAATCAGCTTATGGTGTTGTCAAATGTATGTCGTAACAGTAGTTTTAAAGTCACTGCCAATTCTGTTTCCTATTCCATGGAAAAGACCTTTTGTAGGCTGAAATGTATGCATCTCATTAGACTGAAGGCTTTCAGTTCTTAATCACATTTACTTTTTTGTATCTCCGGAGAAGGTGTGGTTTCAAAGTCTTGGATTCCTTTTGTGAATGTAGAGGCTTTCCAACAGTTGTTTTCAGGATTTTCTGTTAATAACTCAAATGATTTTCAAGCTCAATATCCATGTAAATAGATGATATATATATTTATACATACACACACACATATGAAGAACAAAATTATGTCCTAGATTTTTCTAGTTTTCTATAATGGCAACAACCAGTATATTTGAAGAGTGTGTGTGGTGGGGGATATTTATTTATTTATTTGTAGTTAGGAAGGAATGTATGAATTAGAACTTTTTTCAGAAGATCCTCTGTAGTTCTGGTTTTTGATGGTGATAGGTATGCGTAGGGTAAAGGGAGATATATTCTTTATTGTGGATCAGGTGAAATGACCTTTAGTCTTTCTGCATTGATAGTATCCACTATGAAGTATAATATGTATTTTTAACAATTATATAGCTGTTGGGAAGCTGTAGAACTCTGTGGGATTATCACCTGCTAGCAGCATTGTGCCTTTTATAAAACCCTGCTGCTGTGATGATACAGTTCTTAAGCAAGCTTAATTTGTAGGACTAATGGTCAAAAACTGTTCTCAAGCTTGTGCTGTTAGGGCATGCATCTTATATTATGAAGCATTTCAGCTGATTGATCACTACTGGCCAGTCATAGGACCTGTATTTAAGAAATGTGAATTTCTTACAAATTGCTGGCAGATAGCAGACTCTGGATGCTGGATTAAAATGGGCTCTGGTTGTTATCTTTACTCATTGAATATTCAGTACGAATTATGTCTGGTTTAAATTTTACTCTGAGCATTTCACAGGTGATTTTTGGAGGACTGTAAATTGGAGATCAGATATGCTTGCTTTCCTTCCTTCACTCAGTTATCACTACTCTGCATTATTCCATCACTTAGAGGTGATAATCAAGAATCCATCTTAGTTATCTCTACCTTTTCAATTCTATCACTTTTGTACTCTCTGAAATAAGAGTCCTTTCTGCTAATTTGGTTCTGTTGTGTGAGACATCAACCCCTCTTTCTTCTCATCAAAATACCTAAACTCAACACTAAGCTGTTTAAAGTAGATTCGGAATTAAATAGGAATTACTTGGCAATATCCCTTTAACTGTTCAAAATCAAAGACAACAGGATTTAGTGTTTTGTCTGTTATTTGTTTTTTGTCAGTCCCAAGAATCATTCCTAAGTGTAATTTTTGGTTTGTTTTTAATAACTTTTTTGTTAGTGTAATTTTGTTTATTGGTACATTGTAGTGTCTGCATTTCACCAAAATCAGTGTCTGAAGTTCCTTTTTAATTTATTCGCCTTATCCCTTCCCCTTCCTTTTGTTTCTCTGAATTACTTTTAAACAGATGCGCTCAGGTCAGCTTTCCCGAAAGCTCTGGGGATCAAGCAAACGGCTCAGCCAGATTTCGTCAGGAGAGACTGAATATAACACTCAAGATTCCAAGTGATTGCTGCTTCTACCTTCTCTCATGGAGTCCAGAAACTTATTTTATATTTTGGTCACTTTAAATGTACATCTGTTTTCAGGGGCTTCACTCTCAGTCTGTTGAAGATGAACCTATGGTAGAGGTATAGTAAAAAGCATATGTACTCATGCAAGTTAGCTTGCTTGCATATTTTTCCTTAACCACATTGATTTGGTTACAACAGAATCCCTCTCTAAATAGCTGCTAAAACAGGGTTTCAGGGAAAAAAAAACCAAAAAGCAGCCAAACAAAGGAAAAAAAGGAAATGGGTGCAGAAAACAAAAACACCAGACCTCCACACCCAAGCCTTGCTAATTGAACCTAAAATAAATAGCATTTGATTTAAAACTGGCTCTATTAGCCAGATGCTCCTTGACCACAAGAAAGATACTTGGCAGTGCTTTGAGAGCACTAATTTCCCATCAGTGAATTAAAACTGTTATAGTGGTACTATTCAAAACTGGTATAGTTGACAATTATGATTTTTTTCACTGTCTTTAGATTAATGAATAACTTATTGTGATTTGTTTCTGTAAATGGCCATTGCTGTCATCTTTTATGTAGTTCCAGTTTTAGGCTGTCTGTAAGGAGCATCTGTGTTGTACTACTTGATTATGAAAAATTCTTAAGTACAGACATGAGTAACTTCAAAGGATTTGAAGGTGGTGGATGAGCTGAAGGAGGTAGGAAAACTTGCTGCTAAAAATTATTTATATTTTTAAGTAGACTAAAACACTTAGGAATCCCATAATATAGTTAATATCTTGAAGAAATATGGAGGAGTAATTGCATATCCATGTCAGTTAAAGATCAGTCTTTAATAGTAAGGCAACTCCTGCAAAGAAAGAACAAATTCCATTGCAAAATCATTTAAACAACATTACAGCACAAATTAATTAAATAGCACCTGTTTTTTTTCTTGGCATAGTATTCACCAAAGCACTTGCTGGCTGTATTTTTTTTCTGTTAAGCAGGGAAATAGTGTATCTGTTTTCAAGATGTGTTTAATAGTGGTGAGAAGAAAATATCAGATCTGTACGTGCTCATTAGACAACAGAACAGTTTTCAATTAGATGCTATATTTTCGAAAAGCCATTACTGAATGTTTCCTTTGTTAAGCAATATATGATAATAGATGAGTGTTTTCCTATCATTCTGGCCTTTTTTATAATATTAATAATTTAAATTATAATCCCCATCCTGTTAAAAGCCTGGTGCTGAGGGAAAAATAAGATTTTTTTTGACTGGCATGAAAAGGTATGTGTGTATATGTGTCTGTGTATATATGTATATACGTGTATGTATGTCTATTAAAAAGAGAATATCATTCCTCTTGCATCTTTCTGATGCAAGTGGAGTACAGATAAAAGGCAGAGTTAGAAGTGGTTGTTTGATAAGATTCCCTTCTGGTTACCATTCTCTTCCCTCTGCCATCACCTTTTTGTTATTTCTATTTATTTATGGAAATGAATGTGCGATGTACCTCCTATAAAGATTATCAGATATATATTCCCTATGACTGGGGACCCGATGAGCTACCTGAGGAACTCCATTATGTATAATCTCATTTCATTAACTTTTGGCACAATATTTATTATCTTTATTTCTATATGGTTAATCCCTGCTCCTGGAAAAAGATAATTTTTAGAAGTTCAGTTAGTTTCACTAAAACTGTATTTGCTTCCTCAATGTCTTTACTTAAAAAAAAAAAAAGAAAAAAAAAAAAGAAAAAAAAATTTCTCTTGTGGGGATTCCCCATGTTCTGAGGAAACTTTTTGCTTAACTTTAGAGGAAATAAATCAGACTAGTGAGAAAATGGGTCTATCCATAGTTGCAATATTCTAATTAATCACTGTGACAGACTGGATTGTCTAGAAGGTTAAGAGAAAATAAGAGTAATTTCTGAGTCACTTGCCAAGAGAGCATTAAATTTCTGAAAGTGAAGTGGTTCATTTTTTTCAGACTCCATACGTTCAAAGTGAGAACTGTTTTTGTCAATTGCCTATCCAGGAGGAAGAATAAAGTGATTCTGGAAGTATAAAGTGTGCACATAAGAATGTGAAGTAAGCTTGTCCGTTATGATTTCATGAAGAAGGGATTTCAGGGGAGATCTTTAGAGAGTAGTTTGGGGAAGTTAAGAACTCACTCACTTGGGGCATTACACTGGTTTTTATAAGTGTGCATATATGTTCTGTTTAAATGCATATATGAAATTAAGGGTATGCTTGTGGAGGAAGGGAGAGGCAATAACATTTCAAGTTAGCAGAATCAAGTAGAGAAAAAGGAAATGGTTCTTTCATATTGTTTGTGAAGAGAATCTTTATCACTTGCTCAGAGGTTCACATAAAGGTTTGAAAAATGTCTTATTGTGTTTAGGTTATATTTATACAAGAGATTAATTTTAATAATTTAATATTCAAGAATAGTGATACAGTGTGTTAGCTTATGTAACGTGTAATGTAGTTGCAGTAATTGGGGATGAGAGGACTTCTGGTGAGGAGCTTTGACATTTGAATACCATCATTTCAGGTCATTGTGAGCATTAGGTGATCTTCAGTAATATCTGGGTCAGGTTGAACTGCGGACAGTTTTGGAGTAGATTTGATAACAGCTTGTGCTCCACACAAGACAGCAGAATGAGAAAAGGTGAGCTCTGAGCTACTTCATGTTCTATGCAGAATAGCAATGTACGTTACCTTTTCATCATCACACGATCCTACAGGATAAGGGGTGTATACCACCACGCAGTCAATATTCTTGCCAGACCTGCTGGAAAGTCCCCAGGGGTTCTAAAGTCTGCACTTTGCCTTTATGTAAAACCAGCTTTAAATAAAAGGTATAGATAGAAGTAAGTTTGAGCAGTAGGTGGCATTTTGCTTCATTTCTTTGTATGTCTTTCAAGTAGAAAATCTTTTTATTTCTGTCAGCTGGTCAGGCTAATTGAATTGCAGTCTATTATTGCAGTACGGAGTCTATGACTTCCTTTTACTTTCCTCAAGCCAAGCAGAGCACATTGTTTTTCATGTTGAATGAGACATTTGTGAAATTAGATTTAAGCATAAAAAAGTAAAGCCGTGAGACAAACCGTTCTGATTAGGAATTGGGAATAAGCAGTGCACAGTTACTTTGTAACACTGCATTTGTCTAGACCTTCTTGTTGGTACCTCCTTTCATTTCATTTTTGGAACATCCTTAATGATGTTTATCAAAGCTAAAGATATACTTCTGAAGCCGAGTAAGGAAGTGTGTAAATATTAAAAAAAAAAACAAAAACCTGAAAACTTGCTTTTGATATTTGTATATAAATTAGATTGAGCAGTTAGCAGTATTGAATAAATTCTTCCTAGCATTTGAAATTCCATACCAAAAGATGATATTTAGAAGACACTTCTCCTTTACTTCAAGTAAAACGTTTGTTAGATTTCTCAGTTTGCTACTAATTCTTGATACTATTTCTAGTATTTTATCTATAGTGAAGAATCTTGTCTAGCCTTCGCAGTTTTTATACTATACCAGCATTCAGAAAGTGAAATGTTTGCAGTTCAAGTTAGCATCAGACTTACATGAATTATACCATATCAATATACTTATCTACTACTCTGTCATAGACTATCTAGAAACTGTACCTTCTATCATCCATATACCTTACCAACACCAGCACAAAATGATAATCTGTCTTAAATTAACTGCATTTTTCTTGCGTATAAATATATAGCCTAATACCCTAAGGCCCTGATCTAATAAATACTGCTAGATAAAAACACTGTAGGGTCACATTTAATTTGGTGGGAATTTAAGCATGTACTTCTGTGCTTTTGCAAATGGGCTCTTTATGCCTTTTGGTTTAAAACCTATGTAGTATTTGGTGATAAATGTGACACTTAGTAATCAGTTGCCTATGAAGTTTCTGCTAAGGAGTGACTTAAGCTGTGCAAATGTATACACTCTAGTTACTAGTTATTAGTTATATATTACCAAAATCTCCATAAAGCATTATGGATAGTTGAAGACAGTGGTTCTTAAATGAGATATACCACAAAGTGCTACACTTCTGCAGACTTTTTGTTTTCATTCACTGAACTTGATCATTGTTTTTGTGAATGGTCAGTCAAATTTGGTGCTGTAATAGGTAACAGCACAGCAACTACAATGAAGCTAATGAAGAGACTTTAATACAACAGATTGTATTAACTTGCATTGCTTTAAAATTGTGCATGTTTGTTTGGCAAGTCTAAGCAGATGCAGGCAGTGACACAAGAGGTACGTCTTCCTTTTGGGGAGAGAAAAATTTTGTGCAATCTCATGTATGTAGGTTCGTTATATACCAATGCCAGACTCAACCAAAGTGTTTGGAAGATGCCTTTCTTTCCATCCCAGGGAACAAATTTCTTGTTATTAATAATAGCCAGCTTCTACAGTTAAAACACTGTCTCCTCCTTCAGCACTATAGTTATCAGAATACAGAAAGGCCTCTGAGTGGCAGCATAGCATCATTTGCAGTTTACTTTTCAGTCAACTGCATTATTCATTTTACTGAAGTCTTGAACACTCTACAGGTGTTTGTACTGTTTAATCAAAGACAGTCTCATTTAGTTTTTGCTCACCTTTTTGTTGTGCATCACTGGAAGAATACTGATTTATTTTTTTTGTTACTGTTTACCAAAATGACTGAAATAGAGTTCCTCCAGTTGTGTATGCTTTCTGTTTTCATTTGATGGATTTGGGTAACTTGGAAAGTAATTCCAGAGCTTGGGTCTGTGACTAGGTTCTTTGCAGAGACTGTTGTAACTAATTTCTTGTCCCCAAAGCATGATTGTCAGTGCAGATTATGGTTTAATGCTGCTAAGGTGTTTGGAGATTGAAAGACAAAACATCTAGCCATATGTATCATAAATTTAAATGAAGCTAGAAACCATTTATTGATTTAATTTCCTATCCAGTCAGCATTTTCTCTTGAGGGAGACATTTTTTTGCTTTGTAGTAACTATTTTAAACTTAAGTGTGTACCTGGTAATACTGCTTTAGTTGTTGCAGCTGTGATCTATTAAAGAAAGCCATGAGGAGGAAAAAAAACAACAAAAAAACAAGGAAAATTTGCTACGTGTCCTGATCCAACCTTTATCTATGCAGGCACCTCTTAATCCAAGATTAGACAAACGCTGCTTTTAGACTTACCTCTCATTGGTTAGTCTTCTGTTGGAAGTTTTGCTGCTACTCAAAGTTTCCTTGATGAAATTCAGTAAGAAATTATTTGATATGCTTCAGCATTTGTTTAAATTAATAAAGCTAAAAGGCAGTGCAAAGGCCTTACTTAGAGCAACGGTTAATCATATCTAATCATATCTTTTGACTCTTACACATTGTGCAATTGTGATTACAACTGAATTTTTAAATGCCAAAAAATGCCTTTTTTAAAAAAAAAAGTTAAATGTTAGGTCTGAGGAGTATTAAATGTGTACTTTTGAAAATGAGCCTTCAGGCACTGTAACAAACTTGCTGTTAGTCTTCTGTGCAATATCTCTTTCCCTTCTGGGTGCTTTAAGTGTATACTGTATGTCTTATTTTGGTATGATCAATATGTTTTGAGAGTGTGTATATTAGCTAACGATGGAATTTTTTTCTGTACAGCATGGTGGAAGATGTTTTAAAATTTTGCACTTTTCTAGGATTTGTGAGTTTGTAACCTAACAATTTTTAACATGCACAATTTTGTACATAATTAGCACTGTATATATTTAAAATGAGTATGAAGCCAATAAAAATAACTGAATGCAAAAGTTCTCACTTTATTAATTCTGCAAAAATGAAACTAATGCTGTAAGAGTACACTAAATGAACAATTACTTTATTACACAGGTAAAACAAGGCAGAAGGAAGAGCTGACTCTTAATTATGTTAAGGTAACTTTCTTTGAGGGAGGAATCAAAGTGAAGATGTGAACATACAGAACCTTTCAGAGTAAGAGTACTCTTTTATTCTTATTCAAGCATTTCAATAAAGCATGTCTTTGGGAAAGAAAGATTGTCTGAGAAGTGAGCAGGGTGGCAAAAAGAGAGCCTAGTAATGCACATTTAGTTTTATTTATAAAGTTAAGGCTCTCTACCCAATCTTGTACTGCAAGCATTTCTTCCCTTCTTCATGTGCTGACTTTTTCTGTAGAATATGCAAGGCTATTGGAAATTGCTGTCAATCAGCAAGAAACTGAAATCTGTTCCAGGCTCATGTTCAGTTGGTTTCTTACCCCTGTAAACAAAATAAACCATGCTGTAAGCTTGAACAGCAGCTAGGTCTAGTGATCTTCCATTTGTTATTAGGGACAGAACAAAGATCTTCCCCTTGTTATTAGGGATAGAACAAGGTTCCTTTCCTTATATTCATCATGAGATATATATTTTAGATTTCTCAGTAATGTTCATACAACTAATGGCCTGAATTCTCTTGTTCTAGAGTACATTACGACCAAAGTGGCATTCCCCAGCCTTGAGTACAGAGCACAGCTGGAGTACTGGGACACTCTAGATGAATGGTGGCTATAGCTCAGAAACACAGGTGTTGTCATACTAACTGCTTTTTTGGATCACTAATAATGTGTTTTTTCTGAACAGAAATGGAAGCAAAGTGTTAAGTAACTTGAGTAATGAGAAGACGCAATGTGTACCAGGAGTTTAAGCAAGTGTCTCTCTCTTTCACTCAAATTCAAATGAAGCATTTACCTCAAAAAAAGCCTTGCTCCTGTCACTCCTTGCAAGGTGGCTTTGTCTCCTTCCACAAGCAGCATTGCACCTTCCCGCAAGCCCTAATATAGGTTTAGAAAAAAAACTTTACTTGAAATCTATGTGAGAAGCTTGAAGCCCGCTTCATCCAGGTGTTCGCAATCGTTAGGGACTCAACGATCTGTCCATCTACCCCAGGTGCACACCAATGTGGTGGGTGGTAAAATGGCGTTTATTAACTCGTGACAGGA